GTTTCCAAGATCAGTGTTGAAAACTGAGTTAACTTTTTTCTACAGTTGTTTTACGTCCTAGCCATGTTGCGATAATTGTTAAATTTAATTATAGAATTTACCTAATCTTTACGTACACGTATGTTTTATACATGTCCTTCCAACTACTTTAAACTACTTCCGAATAATCGTTATTCCTGTTTCAATCGAGAAATCACGTAATTTCGCTATTTTATCGCCGATTTCCACCTTACGTAATGCTTGCCTAACTTATTTATACGCTTCTGAGACCTTTGCGTTGTTTACTTAGAATAGAAATCGATCTGCGTTCGCAAACAGGTTCGTAGTTCGAGGAAAGATATTTTACTCGTCCTCCATCCTCCTCCTCGCGAACCATGACCCGGTAGATCACGTCCTTAGGGCCTTGGTGAACTGCCAGGAGTCTGTGGTGACGACACCCGGGACCTTGGGTGTCTGGGTGTAAGAGGTACGGAGTCAAAGGTTTCGGTTTGGGTGGTGGAGAAGCATTTGGAATGATTCGTTTATAGTAGGAGAATTTGTTCATTTGTTGTTTGTGAGAGAATGTCCCAAACCCTGGTACTATTTTTGTATAAGCATTAGTGGTATAAAAATTATAATTATATTCCGATGACAAATAATAACTTTTTCTCAACAATACAAGGACAAAGCAAGGGTCATACTGTTGTACCTTCTGACTGTGCCATGTTCTATTTACCTTGTTAAGTAAATACAGGGCGAATAAAAAAGTAAAGCCCCCCGAATATTTTTCTAAAGAAAATATACAGATACAGTATATCCTTTTAGTGGTCGTGTGACATCTTAGCAAGAAGTTCATTTTGAAAATTTCGAGTGTCCCCCAAAAAATGGGGAATTTTGGGGGCAACTCGAAATTTTTAAATGTAAACCCCCTTCAACTGACACCTCATTTTAAAGTATTTATAAAAACTTGGTAAAGACCAAAGATCGCTATATCTTCTCTATTAAAATGTCAGCCCGTCAAAAGCTTAATGACGTCTACTCTTACATTAATTTTCTTGTGTAAAAAAGTATTTTTTTTAAATCCTCTATGAAATAATGCAAATTAATTAAACTGTTTGAATAGTAATAAATTCCAAGACAACTATATCAGAAAAAAGAGAGAGAAATTGAATACATAAAATTTAGCCAGTTAGATTTTAACCTTATTCCTGTACAGGAGTGATATGATATTTACACCAGCAATATCTGTGTCTGATATTAAGAGTTTCAATTTATTAGAAAACCAATAATGATTCAATAATGATTCTTCCTCTATTAGTGAACTGATAAACGATTTTACAAAATATATATTATGTTTTTAACTATGTAAATCCTTACATTTGTTCATATCTGGAAAAAAAATTTTGTAAAATATTTTAAAAGACGTACGTAAGAACTAAGCAAGAAGGACCTCAGCAAAACCAAGATAATTTGAGAACTTTAAAAACTCTGCCCGATTTTTTCAGACAAAATAATTTCAGGTAACAGTTAAAACTCTTTACATACTACTACACCTTCAATAAAAAAACAGGTATGACCTTTCTATTTAATTCATCTCTAACATGTTTTCTGTTTAGAACTATTATTTTAAAGGACTCTATATTATCTAATGTTCATAATAATTCTCTAAATAACTTCACAACTTACATAAAAAGATAGAAAAAGCACACAGTTATTTTAATGTGAGATGACATTAATGACATAGTCCCATGATCGTTTTATTAATGTTTTTGTAAGTAGACCTAATTGTTTTACCAAACTTCTTAAAAAATTTTGTGTCGACGTACTTAACGTATACTTAAAAAACACATTGTTGTTACATAGTATACAGAATTCTCTTTATTATTATTACTATTCATTTTATGGATTTTATAAATTTATTAGAAAGCTTGTTGTGTTTTAACTACTTTATAATGCAAATAAAAGAACCTTTTTAAGATAAATTTAATCTTTTTTTACTTTTTGTTTTTTAATTTTAGTTTTTATTTGTGTTTATTTATTAATTCCATTTTTCGATCTATGTAGTCGTGTGTATTTATTTATGCCCTACTGATTAAAATTCAATGTTGTGTTAACAAATTACACAGAAGAATTTTTTCCATTCACTAGTTGATTACTGTTCTGAAATAAATACAAATACACAAACAAACGTATTTGTATTTGTTTTTAAATTATTTTTAGATACACGACATGAGCATTGTTACCGTTTACTCCCTGCAAAGACGCGACGTGATTTAGCTACATCCGTACGCTGAGCTCACATTCTGTGTATTGCAGGCGCATTTGAAATGCTGAATCTTGAGACGATTGAAAATATTGACTACTTCACTATACGATCACTATGGCGATGGTTTTGTTCTTAAACATAGCCTACTTTAAGACTAGATAATGCTTAGATTTTACGAAACATTTTTAAACGATGCAGTAATACTTGTATTTTTATTAATCGGAACTATTTTTTCGGCAATATCAGCGACCAAATTTTTAAATTAAAATGGTACACCTGACGTCAGCTATAGGCAGGAAATCGCAAAAGACCACAACAACGCATGTATTTTAGGAAATAGTATATTTCTCTAGTGCCTAAAGACAAAGTGACACTTTTTGGCACGAGCTCTAGTTTGTCAAAAGACATTTTTGGCTTTTAGTTTGCTGAACTATATTTTACTTCATTACACTATTATTTAAGGTAACCTATAAAAAACACATGTACATAATTGTTCTCTGTTATAATAGTTTACAAAATATTTTAATGGATTTTGCTATCATGTGTGAACCGCGTGCACTCTTTTTAGATTCATTATGTGATGTATTACTCAACCAACCGGATAATAAATTCATATTTAAATTACTGCTATTGATAACTTTCAGATTATTTTGTCGACAATGTTGTGAAATATACAACTTACAATACAAGATGATCATTGATCGACACAAAACAATTAGTAATGATACAATAATACTTTTCATTGTTCGGGACTATTTTCTCCGGAAAAATCAGCGGACTAAATAATCTTAAAGTTAAAACCCTGCATAGCTGACATCCTCAAACCCAGCTGATTCTTTTCCATTCCACCCTGGAGTAAAAAAGATACACTTTAGTCCCGCCAAGCCTGTAAAAAAATCTGTCTTTTTGCTGCAGTATGACGAAAAATCGTAACGAAATCGTAATTAAGGCACAAAACATGAAATAAATAGCTGAAACTCGTAATTTACTTATACACGACAGGAAACAACTTTTCAGTTGATCTTTAGTAGGCATAGGGCATGTATTTTATCAAATTCATGGCAAAAAATGGCGTCAAGTAGGTGATCAAAATCATAATCTTATTTAATAATATGGTTTACCCCTGTAACTCAACATAAAAAACAAAATGTACGCAGTTGGTAAATACAACAATGTTTTTTTTTTTACTTCAACAGCCATAACATGTTTTAAGCGTGGGCATCCCCTTATATTTGTGCCAGATCTCATTTTCACGTCCCATGTAGGCCTATAACACACATAAGCGGCATGCGTGCGAAAGTAGTGAAAGTTTCAGCACGCAGGCATGCGATACATCTGCATATAAACCTACTATGTAAACCGGGCAACATAGTGCTTTGAGAGTGTAAAGCCCACATGACGATCAGCAATGAATCACTAATTGAGCTAATTCACTAATTGATGAATTACTAATTTATCATTTATAAATGTGAATTACTAATTGAGCATCGCGCAGTTGAGGTGAAATGCCGTCACGGAAATTTTAGTAATTGTGGAAATAGTAAAACGGTATTTTGTAAACTAAGAGAACCGCAGACGGAAAAAACTATGGCTACATTATTGTACTTGGATTTATATTGTCTGTGCACAAAAGTGCTAGTTTCGCATTCGCAAGGTTTGAAATACACATTTTCACGTTTCATGCTATCGTTTAGGGATCATAATTAATATGAGTGAAAAAAATAGTATTTCAATTTGCACGTTTAGTACGTTCCACCCATACTAACGTTTTAGTGTACAACATATACATTTTTCTACAGTCACCTAACAAAGTGGACTTCCTTGCACTGATTATAGTACAGAAAGTTGCTAATTGCTGCATTTACTTACTTTTGCCGCACTCTTTTTACTTTTGCCATAATCTTATTTTCGCACACCAGTATTCCAACCAAACAACACAAAAGGCGTGCTTTTATTAGGCATGTAATCCGTTTACGCTTGGAAATAGGTTGGCAACACTTAAAGATACTACGAAGACGATCAGCTCGTCCATCGTTTCCCATTTCGTTAAACGCTTGGATAAGCCTAACCTAACCTAAAATGGATAAAGCTATTTAAAATGTCTACGTTCTCATATACGATTATGCTAACTAATATTGAAACCCAGGATTCATTGAAGCTATGTACAGTATTAGAAGCTGTAGTGGTGATTAGAGCCAGGTGTTTTAGAAACGTTAGGGTCACTAAAAAGCTAAAACCACAACTCAAGCGATTATTAATTGAATTAAAAATTAACCTTGTTCAAAAGTTTACTGAAAACGTTATTTTGACATTCTTTCACTGTATTCATGTCAGGTAATCTTGTGCTTACCTCACTTATTTATTTTTTCTTTACATAAGTGATCTATTTAAGTCGTTTTCTTGGGGACTTTGAAGGTATAATAAAAACTGTCCAAATTGCTCTCACTAAGCTATCTCACTCGGTAGTCTTTTTATCGTGACAGATTGTCGCTGGCATTGTTACCTAAATATCCAGAGACAAGTAAATAAGTAATTCGTCAACTAGTTGCGACATAAGTTACATTAGCCAAAGGTACGGCAACTTGTATAGACAGTAAGGTGTCATGCAACTATGTTAAAGCGTTTCTTTCTCTTCTTCTTCTTCTCCTCTTGACGTTGATTGATGTCTTCACTACGCTGCTTGCATCTCTTGATGTATGTTGGGCTATTGAAGAAGAGTCTGTGTACAACATGGACGCACTTACATGACCGTTCCCGAACTACTGCTTACACATTTCGTTTACATTTGTTACATTTGTTTCAGTTTTGTATCATTGCAGACCGGAGTTGGAATAATTACAAGAAATGTTAAAGTAAGTAAGAAATTTCACAAAACTTTTGGTGATTTAATCTTGTACTTTTCAATTACATTCATTAAATAGATATTTTTTGATTCCATAAGTTTTCAATCTTTTAATTAAATTTTATGTTGAACTTTATGGGCTTGCACATTTTGAAACTGGACTCTTTAGTTATTGAATATTATAATAATTTTAAACCCTCTTTAAATATCAACCTATTTGGCAACAACCTATACCAACCTATAGTGCCTCATAGGTACCAAAGATTTCAAGACATAACAGTCTATATGCAACACTTGCTATACAGGGTGTTGAAAATGTCTGGAACCAACATTATATCTGGTGAGTGGTTAAAGAAAAACAAATGATACTTTGTGCACGGATATACTATGGTTTTACCTATCTTTTGGTGCCTTATGAAAATTTTTACCACTTATAGGGAACGTCCTGTGGAGGATGCAGTAATAAGTTTTAATGGAAGCCTACGGTAAATGATACATCATTTTAAAGGCCATTTTTTTCTGAGTAAGGAGCCAAAAGTTTCATCTCAAAAGGACCACCCTAGCGAAAATGGCACCTGTTTGAAATTTAAAAATTCCGTTCCCTATAAATGGTTTTTTAAATTTCAAACAGTCGCCATTTTTGCTAGGGTGGTCCTTTTGAGATGAAACTTGTGGCTCCTTACTCAGGAAAAAATGGCCTTTAAAATGATGTATCATTTACCATAGGCTTCCATTAAAACTTATTACTGCATCCTCCACAGGACGTTCCCTATAAGTGGTAAAAATTTTCATAAGGCACCAAAAGATAGGTAAAACCATAGTATATCCGTACACAAAATATCAGTTGTTTTTCTTTAACCACTCACGAGATATAATGTTGGTTCCAGACATTTTCAACACCCTGTATATATTTTCTAAATGAAGTTAAACACGTTTTAAAATGCACCCCTGGAAATATCCACAAGTTTAATTTACATATCCAAAATCCTCTGTGATCGTTTAGACAGTCCTTACCTCCATCAAACAACTAGGCATGCAAAACTAAGAGGTGTCCTTCAGTATGAGCCGTCAGCGTCAGGACTGCAATGATGGATAACTCGACGACAAAAGACCTGATTATGTACTTGTTTGATAACACGCGTAACTGATTACCGTGATTTGACGACCTTGAACTAATCGTGAGGGAAAGTCGGGAATCATCGTCTAGGATGGATTGACATAAACTTCACGAGCATCGTCAGAGGAGAATATATACATTAGGAGAATATATACAGTTCTTCTTCGTGAATCTTGCACCCCGAGTGGTTTTTTGTTTAATTTTTTGCACGCTGTAAAAAGTTTTAATTAATTTTTGTTCTCAGGGGAATTTAATTTGGCAAAACTGTTTCGAGACAAAAACGTCAAGAGCATCTAAAACATATACTAAAGCTAAGAGAGATTTTCATTCATCAACCGTTTCGATAAAAATCCAACTATACTACTATGACTGTTTTGTTGTAGGTAATTTGGCCTGAACATCTTCGGATATTTACTGAAATTAGGATCAGATACGTAATGATTGAAATAACAATGGAAGACAACAAAAAAAATACTAAGGTAATTAAAATAACCTAAAAGATCCGTTCAGAAGAAAAGGGATAATTTTCAAAGCCTTCCACTTTCTACCATTACCAACGATAAGAACGCTCAGAATCGTCCAACTTACCATGTGTCTAACTTATCTGCATGTTCGTATAGAACCGTTTATTTTGTATGATGATTATTGTGGGATTTGTGGACATTTTCTTTAAAAAAATCCGTGATAAAATTGTCCACAATCCATTATTTAACAATATTACACATTTTAACCTCATTATGAGCGGAAGATTACCTTACAATAGAATTACATAGATTTGCCTAGTGTAGCTTTGATGCGATGTAAGAATCGGCGTTTCTTCAGCTAGAATCACAAATTAAAATTCTAACAATGAAGGAAAAATGTGTCTAGTTTCCAGTGACCAAAGGGTATTTTTAGCAAAATAAAATCTGTAGCCTTGGAACATGGGTAATGTAAATCACTATGTAACTCTTTTTACTCCAAAACCTACTTTTGCTTTACGCAATAGGAATTTTTGATTCTTTAAAACTCCCTGAAGAACCTAAGACTCCTTTTTACTTTTCCCCCTTGACCTACCCTACTCCCGGCCGTGACACTGCCCCTGTCTCCTTATCGCATTTCAGGACTCCAGGACCCCCTCTCCCGTCCTCTTGCTCCGTTTCACTCGCTCGCTCCGCTTCTACTGTATCGTCCTCAGTCTTCGGTAAAACACGGGTAAGTCGTGCCACTGACCTAAGAAACACGCGAAATTTTTTCGAGTGGAATTTTTACTGCACGTTTTGTGAAGTGAAAGATCGTCGTTTTAGGTGTCTGTTAGGTTTGACATGTAAGTATTTTTTTTATTTGAGTTGTTTTTATTGTTTACTGTGTTTTTTTTATGGAATTCATTAAAGGGTCTACAGTTGTAGCATTGAAATCAATAGTCAAAGGTTATAGGTACAGTATACAGTATAGTATAAAAGTTTATAGTATTTTCACAACTTAATACGTTATGAAATATGAACTCTTGTTTCTAATCCAACTATCCTAAAACACCATTGTATTTTTTTTAATTTTTACAACTTTTTTATTACCTTTTAAGGATTTTTAATTAATGGAACGATCCAAACCCTGGTCTTGATACTATCTATCGTCAACATTGAATAGATTGCACTATTAAATAATAGGCCAATAGGGTATGATTATTTAGATTTTATGTCATTCGCGGATTAGGCCTGATGATGATTGGAGTGACCAATCATCCGATTAGCATTGCCATCTTTTATATATATATTTACCGTCTTGTTTAAAACAGTATAAGTGTAAAATATGTTTCAAAAGTTATTAGACTTGTTTTTATTTACTCTCCGTATTTATATTTTAAAAAATTAAAGAATGGATGTTGTACACTGTTAAACATATTTTTACAAACAAACAGTAAGTCCCTTTAAAACAACTACCTTGCAAAACTGGGTTTAACGATTTAATATTGTGATATAGCGTACTATAATCGTATCGCTTTCCAAGTGAGACAACGGAATGTAGATGTAGATGTAATGTAGATTTATTTTATTTGTCAATTTAATTACTATAGGCTATAACGAAAGTTTAAAACTAACGTTAGCCCTGATGTTCATTACAGTCTATGTCTACGATTATTCCATCTGTTTATAATGTCTGACGAGATCGAATTAAACGTTTGTTCAAATTAGACTTTTTAATTTTAAAATGTCTCAAATTAACTTAAAGTTTCTTGTTAAAGACCTCAAAATCTGCTTGGTTTACGAGGACTATACGAAATGTTTGGATAAAATCATTATGCTCACAAACCAGAAACTAATATTTTGTTTTTGTTAATTTAATTCAAATAAATAATAAATAAACCAAAAATAGATGATTAAGTTCAACTTGACATATTTAATACTTTGTCTTGAATTTGTTTTCAAATATTGTTCGGAACACCATAAACAGTGAAACATATTTTTCATATATTTATATCTAATATTTAAATTTTTCAATCAACAAATAATATTCAAACATCAATTCTATTGTTGTCCTTTGATGTCTGAATGTCTCTACTCAAAGGACATCAATAGAATTGATGTTTCCTCCACAAATTAACATAAAAGCATCTTATAGAACGTTTTCGGTGAGTTGGGAAAAGTGAATATTTATCCGTACAACCAACAACTGTACGCAACAGTTATGTTTGTCAGGTCATAAATTAGACAATCCCGCCGAACGTAAGAGAAGTGCGTTGTCATTGACAGTTACTTCACTTTAGTGTGCGGCCTTAACACTTTAACACCTTTGGCATTGTGTCACAGGCTGTAAAACGTGCCAAACAACCTACTATGGCTACAGACTAGGACATCATAGGTACGTGTATTGGCTGTTCGTCAATCAATTATCATATAATGTGCAAACAGATAGTTTATGTGCTAAAATTATGTGCAAATAGATAGTTTATGTGAGTAAACAAAGTACAAATAGATAGTTCATGTACGTAAATACTCCCACCGTAGAAAACCTGCAGACTAAGCGAATTTCCATTTGCCTAATTGGATTTTCACTTAAATATTCCCTCAAATATGTTAGATTTATTCCTCATTTAAATAACATAAGATTTAACGAGTAGGCTACTGAGGTTTGCTGCTACATGGAGGGTGTAGTAAAATGTTAACAGCTTAGTGTAGAATAATAAATTTGCTATATTTAAACAAACAAACTACAACAGTTTGCTTACTCTCCAAAAGAACACACACATTGGAATTTTAAATTTAACATTCCCATTAAATTAGCCGAGGTGGGGGGTTAGTTGAATTTTCCCCGTAATTAATAACCCTACAAAAACACTTCAATAGTCTATTTTTCCCCTTTTCAAAAGTACGTAGAGAGAAATGGAAAAATGTTATATGTTGAGGTTAAAAAATGAGAAATCTCAATTTTTACTCCATAAAACCCCGTTCACATGCTAACAAAGCATTAAATACACACCAGATTTTAACTTAAAGATTAGATGCCTACCAGTTCTATGCAAAGCTGTCAGTTATAATAACTAAAAAAATCTGTTAAAATTGCGTACTAATAAACAGGGGTTGAATGTGTGTTAAAAAGTACTATGAGTCAAAAGTAAAAATTCTATGAAATAAATTATCAAAATTGTTGTATTACTTACCAATTTTTTAGACTCGGAACCCTTGGTAGTACCAACACTTAACTACATCAACTTTCAACTGGCCAGACTAAGCTTATCACAAAATAAACTCATCACGGATGCTGCGATGTGTTGACTTAACAGTGATCTCTTTGTCTTCGTGAGTTTTCCTAGAACCAGACAGAAGCGGTGTTACTTCACGTAATGATAACATGTTATGACAAAGATCATTTGAAATTTGTGCGACTCTTTGACTGGTACGGATGTCGTGTATTTGTCCAATTAAGTTTTTTTAGTTTCTTTGACAGTTTGAAGTTTAATATTGATTACCTAAGACCGTTTGTTAACTCTCCGTTTCAGTCCAGTTCTTATAATTGAAAAGTTTCACAGAACAGCATTATTTACTTACATGACAGCATAGCTTAGTTAACAACACGGGTAACGGACCAACGAGATTCAAGGATTGATAGAAAAGAAGTAAAATTGTAATGATTCGAACTTCAACTAATCAGCTGTTCAGGCCAATTTAATTGTTGGGTGTAATTAGTGTTTGGTACAATGTTCCGTTGCATCACTGTCAGTGGCAATGAGAGGTTATAAACGAAAACATAACCTTTCTTAGAAGTTATGAGAAGTGATTTTAGTAATTAAAACACTGTCGTAGGGAACTTAGTGTACGCAACTCGCGTAAAAGAAGTTAATAAGCTATAACGCAGCATGCTTGTTGGCTAATTTTCACCTAAGAGTACCAGGATGGCGGAAATTTTTAGGAACCTTAATAGTTGAGTTAAGTCAGCCAAGGCGACTCCTACTTAATCCCTGGCTTTTAATACATAATTGACAAATTTTTGCTCAGAGTACCAGGAAGGCAGTGTTAGGTTGGTACATGGTACAGAATAAATTTAGTAGCCAGATAAAAATTTCACACATAGAGCATTTTTTGAAGGTTTCTTTTTAAGTGCCTTTCTCGGTTGTTGCAGAAGCTGCCCCTGGGCGGTATGATACTGAGGTGACAGTCGACCATGGTATGGACCCGTCCGTGGAGTTCGCCATCCCTTCTACAGTCCTGCGTCATCCTGTTGCTAGTTCAAGGTATGAGATTGCAAATAATTTGGAAAATTACACGAAATAGTCTCTTCCAAAGATATTGTGGGATTGAAACATACAATTGGTTGCTTACAGCTTGACAATGGGAAAACCCTAATGCATACTTGAACAAAAATTGTTTGTTGCTAGTTTGTTGTATACTTTGGTTCCTTAACTTTGTTGCAATGCTTTTGCAATCTGAATTGAACGTTTATGTGTATTAATAGTATCAAACTTTATTTTCGACCATTTCGTTCCGTTTTTGTTCTATCGCAGATATAAAACACGCTATAAAAAAAACAAAAAAATAACTAATGAAAAGATCAGAAGAGGATGGTTTAATAATGATTTGCATTTGCTATAATAACCAGATTTTCAACTTAAAATACAACCACTTTTTTTTCTTTTCTACTTTTTGACAGAACAAGTAACGGTACAAGATGAACCATAGATATAAATTCAACACAAGAGAGTATGTTTAATATATGGCTTTTCTGTATCCACATTGTAAAATCTCTCTGAATGGCACTTGGATTACCAGCTTTAATTTCCAATTCGTTCACTCAATTAATTTTAACTTTATTACCTCGTCGGAAATCCCTTACCCAATTTACTCATACAAAGATGGGAAGAATGTCATTCTGTCTGCAAGGATTAATTGTCCAGGGACCTGTAGAAAGACTTTCTCCTTCAAACAAGGTTTGCGACCGAAGCGCTTCCAGCGGCTACTTTCTGCATCCCATTGACCTTAACCTTGGTCCAAACCGGTCACGTGATATGAAACGTTTTCGCAGAGAAAATTCGTGTGTCACACCCGGAGAAGCTTTCGCCATTTTAAAGTTCACGATTTTGGAAGTTTCTTGTGAAGAATGTCGGCATTTGACACCTGTTGAGTGTTTTTGTTTGTAAACTTTCTATTATTCGAGATATTTATTTCTCTTGTATAAATTTTGGAAAATGAAGAGGCTTATGTGTACCTATGAATCTGAATACAAAGGAGACATCCCATCTATATGCAGCAGCTTGAGCAAATCTTTCGTTCCCCATAGTTGATCGAAATCGAGCCTAACAAGATCAGATGGTTGATGTTATACCGCTGTTTTTCCGCTTTATTGCAGTTTAAAAGTTGTTTAAAGAAGTACAGTTGTAAGAGGCCGAAACGGTTTGAAGTCACAGTTGTCTATCAATTGTCAATGTATAATTTACCAGTCAAGTGGTATAATATTATTTAACTGTGGAGTAGTGAAATAAGAGTAGCTTTAAACATTAGACTGTTAAATACAAGTTTCCTATTCTTGGGATGAAAAATTATTGTACAACGGAAAACGAAAACTGATATGCATAACAAATAAGAAAACCTCTTGCATGACTGAAAATTTTACCAATGAACATCTAAATTTCAGGACTACCAAATAAATTAACTAAGACATCAATCCAATTCAAATTATCAGAGTCTTAGGGTCCAACACCACGTTCATCTTCTTATAAGATGAAAATATGACACGTACAAATAGCACCTCACAAAATACTTTCCTTAAGACGTATTTTCCTTAAAGTTTACAGTTCCTTAAGGAATTAATGATATGTTAACCTTGTTTGTAAATAAACGTAGTTGATTATTTACACAAATGGACAGGTATCCAACTTACAGACTTTTCCATTTGATCCCATGTAAAGAATGAGATTGAAGTAGATTTCACATCAAAAAGTTACAATAACACTTTTTTACATGACTTACCGAAGTTTCAACACAGACTGTACTTATTGTACCTGTGGTGTTTGGCAGGAGCACTGGTACAGTCAATGGTAGTGTATGATGGATGATCTGCCAGTCACCCAAACAAGTATTAGTCTCAATTACCTCCTCAACCTCTAGAGGTTCGTGGTTAAATATTTGTGGTTGTGGCAACACTTGGTCACAAGTGTTTGGTCTAGTGTATGCTTGTAACAGGTAGGAACGATGTGTTATGGGCATATTTGATTGTGTGAATGAGTTTTTAGCGAAATTACTTTTCATTGATTGTTTGGTGTGTGTAATGTTTGTTTGCATTACATCAAAATCATGGAAGATTCTGTTTTCCCCTCTAGACCTACTAAATCTCTGGCCACCCTTAAGGGTGTTATGGCAATATATTGCTTACTACTTAACCTGCCGAGTCAGTATTACACTTTATGAAAATTTCTCAACCTGTTAAAGAAATTTTTTATGTTCAATTTCATTTTTGAACTTCCATTTATGATACCGTAATTATTACATACATATTTTGTTGTAACTAGCTATTTAATTCGTCCGTAGATGGAATTGCTAATAAATTGATTAATTAAAAAATAGACGAATCAAATTACCCTATTGTTTTAAATGTTAAATGTAAAGAGTGTTCTCGAATGAAATCGGATGAAATGAAACGGTAAATATTAATGACATTGAAGAAGCCATGGAGGAACTAAAGTAATTTCTTCGTTCTAACACACCCAAATAAAAAGCGAGGTCGATACTGTTGTTACATGTTAAACAATGTGTAAGGGAACAGTTTAGTCCAGGTGTTTAGATCAGTTACAGTTTTGTTTCAACGAGGTTCGCGGGAACAACAAAGATAGCAGACTTTCCACTCTACTAACTTCAACTTGAGTCCAATTTGCCGGTAATTAACTCAGCAAGGAAAGTAAATGATTACCAGAATTGGTGGGAATTGATGCGAGATGAAGGTATCCCATGTTTAATTGTTGTGTAGGTATTGACCGAACACCGTGGCCAGTAGCTCAGTGAAGTGTTTTTTTTTTTTTTTTTTTTTTTTTTTTAAAAAAAGAGGTTGGCGGCCTCTTTTAACCTTGCATTTGCCCGTCCACATAGACTAAGCGCCCGTGCGTGGATCGTTTACAGCAAAGCAAGGAGTGAGCCGGTACAGTACAAAGGTGATCTTTACTGATAAAATGTTATCGGCAGTGACCAGGATCCGAACCCACGACATCGCTGCCTTGGGCCCGAAGTCCGCGACGCTACCGACTGAGCCACCGACTCACTAATAAATTCGGTAATAAATAAGTTCGGATGATAAGCCCAGGATAAGCCAGACGATCTGGTTTAAGATTTCATCACAGTAGCGGTGATAGTCTCATCATGTGACTTGAACCACAAAATAGTGAGAAAGGCAGTCTTTATTCAGTTATTATGCAAAACAGCACATCACTTTCTTTAGACCAACGCCACTCGGTTTCATGGTAACGGGCAGCTGCCATTTCACTTCAAGAGATCAAGTAGTTCATCTATTTTTACAAATAGACTCCATCCCCAGCAAATGAATACATTCGTTATTTGATCAAACTATAGTTGTTCAAAGGTTTATTGCGGACATTTTCCATCACGAATGTAAAAAACAATACACAACGTTTCGGGATCTGGAACCTGATCCCGTCTTCAGGTGAAAAAACTTAACTAACACATTACAACTAACAATACACAAACGCCCAACCTAAGTTGGAATACACTACCGAGGGTAGTAGTCAAAAAATATGCCAAGAAAATATGTCAAGAAATATGGGGGAGGAAACTATAGTGTTGATTGTTGATGTTCTCAATAGAATGAATCATTAAATTTCAAATATTTCTCCACCATTATGCATCCTCTTTTCATCTTCATATGGGAAACACTGAAACAGTGTGTCTTAATTATAAAAGTGACGTTGGATTACCAAAAAGGTCTACATTTTAGAGGAACTTGCTTAGCCAATGGTTATCAAATTCACTTTGGTTGGTATACTATGTTCCATTTACGAGCTCTCAATAATGTTTGCTGATGCAACATTGGATGAAGTAAATAAATTGTACATTTAGATACTATAATTTCTTTAGAATACTCTTTAGCCCAAACCTTTTTCCACTTCCAATCTTCCAAGTTTATTAAATTTTTACAACCTTTCATTTTGGTCTCCTGCAGACATAAACTAGTGGATGCTAAAGTAACCTTGAATGTTTACGCAAGACTTCGGACATCGAACTTTAAGTCAAGGACTGAACATCCAGTTTCCAGTTTAGTTCAGTTCCACGTTTCCAGTTCCACTACCAGGCAGCGACCACAAGTCGTGGTGGCCAAACGGTCGTGAAACCCCGGACTGTGGACCGTGGACCGCAGGATTGCCGGATTGTGGACCAGTCCTGTTTCAACTTTCCAACAAATCCATGCTTTCATCGACCTTGACCCTCGCGACGAATCGCTGTCAAAGACACTTACACTTTCCCCCAACTTACTGTCTTGGTGACTATTGTGTAACTGGATTATCTTGTTATGCGGCGCCGAGTTTCCTCTAAGGAAATATTGTAAACCAGGAGTTGACCAGAACTTGTTGACCAGATGATAGGTAGCATTGCTTAATTTTAATTTTTGGGTTTCTAATAATTCTATATTCTTTTGCTTCGCACGTATAAAACTCATCAGCCAACTTCAAGTATTTAATAACTAAGGATATCAATGTTACATTCCAAATAACCTTAAGTATGGATTCATTTATGAATTATATTTTTTATTCGCGTTTGACGTGTAGACATGTAATTTTAATAAAGAGTCCATTCTGTAGTGAACCTTTCGTTCAGTCACGTATGTCTTAAGATCTTATCGGCAGAGAATGTTAGGTGCGCGTAGTGCAACCCTTAACGTTTCTAAATACATGTAAAAGATATACCTAGTGTTAAGCAGGCCTTTTCTTAAATGATTAATTAAAATACACCCCTACTTTGTAATGCTTCTCTACAGTAGATATCACTACTTTTTTAGTAGAACTATTTGAGACATTTTTACGTACGCAACTAAGTTAAATATTTTAAAACGGAAATAAAACATGATTGTTGGTCAATATACCTTCCTTACTTTTCTTGCTGGACGACCTTACCGTATTTATCCAACAGGAAGAGCCGTCACGTTCTACCAATGTTTTTTGTTTCATTTTTGTCCCTAAATGTTCCCTTTCACAACGTCGGTCGCGTGGAGTGCACGTGAGCGCGGGGAGAAAGTCCCGCCAATCCGCCATACGCTCGCGGTTTAGAGGTCTTTGCTTTTAATCGCGAAATTGCACGTCTTTGAGGAACCCCCACTTACATTGACCGCGGGGTCACTTGCTATTAGTTATTGATGCTTCCCTGAAATTGTAAGGAGTATGCCAATTGCTTGCTGCTACCCTAGAATGAAGTGGTAGACTTTACATCACAAAGGGAGAGATCTACAGTATATACTGTGCTATTTCAAAGCAAATAGATACACGTTTATAAGTATTTTTTTTTTATCTGTTGGTATGAAAAATGAAGCACAGTATGACCAAACAGTCTTTAACTGTTAGTAGTTTTCTTATATCCTATGAGGACAGGCATTGCCTGTAGATTGATAGTCATTGGTAAAGGAAACTATTTTGTTGTTATGAGATTTATTAGATCTAGGTATACCATAATCACTGTGCTTGAAATAATTGTTCTTGTTCAAACTATCAGATTGTCTTAAATCAACCATTGTGCTCATCTTCATCTCGTTTTCACTTTGGTTTGTAAATCAGCCAGACATTCTATGAAGATACTAATTTAATTTACATTTAGTAAACTTAGTTTGTGGTTGAAGTGATAAAAATAATTTTCAAACATCGGGAGCTCAGCAGAACCATATTTGAATCTATAACTCGATTCTACCAAATGTATATGAAAACTCCCAAAATACGTAAACTAATTATTGAGCTGCTTCAAACAATTATCTCTTTAAAATCGGCTATTAATTCCTCAAAAAGTTCCTAAATTCAACAAATTTGTATCCATCTTTTTTTTAGAATTTTGGTGACTAATTTCGACTTAACTGTAAGGTTGGTGCTTTGGACCGGTATATATTATGATAATATGATGATGATGCTGCGGCCATGTTGGCTTCTGGGTCAACCGGGCTAGGAACTAGCAAAGCAGAAACACAGTTTGAGAAAGTTGACCCTCTCTAGTTTTCGGCAAATTTAACGTTGTTGAACAACAGGTTTAGTCATCTTGACATGCTTGCTTGTCTGTTCCGTACGCGCAATCTTTTGTACCTGAATCCAAAACAAATCTTCGATATTCACTCGTAAAAACTGCAGTGTTTTTGTCGTACACATATCGTGGGGAGAATTGTTCAACATCAATTTATTCTGTGTAATCTGTGAACATAAGCACTGTATCACAGAGGTTGTAAACATGTTGAATGCGTCGTGTCCAATGTGTAAAGTGTTAAGTGGGCTCAAAGTCGTAAAGATGACAGAAACCTTGGTTTAACAGTTGGTTACATTGTATTTGTAGACTTGGCTCATACACGCATTCTCAGTCTAAGAATTTTGATGGGTTTTAAATAATTTTAAGTAGGGAATGAAGATTAAATTTTTAATGTTTTCAGTGTAAAAGATTTCTTTAAATCACATCTAAATTGTTCCATAAAATCATGTCCATAAACTAAAATCTTGAGACATGCATACGCCTGTCCTCACAATTCTAAGTTATTAAACAAAGGGTTTATTTGAAATAATTAATCAATTGAGTTAACATTAAATTTAATCCAGTAAAAGTCAATTATTTGAAATTGGCTTTTCTTTTAATGTGTGTGTAATTGTGAATACGTAAAAGTATCTTTAACCTAAGGTTCTTTTTAAGTTCTTGTTTTTTTTCACCTGAGGACCTGATCAGATTCCATATCCCGTATTGTTTTTTTACCATCATGATGGAAAATGTCCGTAATAAACCTTTGAACAACGTAAAAGTATTTCCACAAAAGTTTTAAAATATATTCAAAGTAGTGACTGACTGTTTTAAAACCATCTTGACAAAGATTGATCACGTTTTATGCAAACTTCAAATATATTCAAATTTTACTCTGCCTTGCCTTAAGATGTACAGCCTAATTTATTAACACTTAAGTTATATTTTCTCCAATCATCTTTTCTGGCTCGGAACCAAATTTCTAAAATCAATCTACATCCATCAGCCTTAACGAGTTGATAGCTTAACTTTAAAAGAGACCATTTATTTTCTTGAGGAGGAAAATTAATAACGCGTGTAAATTATTGTACTGCCACCTAAATGTTCCACTTCGTAAATTCCAATCGGCACATGTGATCCTTTCTCTGAACAGCGGAGAGAGTGCTTTCGCCATGTGATTTATACATATCGAGAGCAGCTGGCAGCCTCACAAGTTATCAGCTGATATCCACCTGTTAGAGAGTTGCAGATCAGCTGTTTGCAGTAGCAGACGACGTGTCACCAAGACTTGTTTGGAGGGAAAAGTACATTATTTTTATGATGGATTGTTTTGACAGTAACTTTTACCATTGGCTCTACCACATTGGGAGATGTTGAATGGAGTTTTTAGAATGTGGAGAGACTCGTCTTACATATTTGTTGACATTTTGTCCTTGGACATTTTTATTGATAGAGGACAAACACACAACAGCACCACGACGCATCACGAGTGCTTTGACAAAGCACTAGATTAACTCATTTATATGTCATACATATGAATCTTAATATTTTAAAGACGTAAACAAAATAAAAGTGGGTTTATTAAAGAGAAAAAATTACTTTACACTGTATGTGTTGATTTACAAGTAGAACCTAAAGCAATACTCCTAACCCGTTTTCAACCATAGACCTAGGGTATGAAAACTGGATTTAACCAAGCTGGACCCAGCTGTTACTAATCTAATAAAGCAGCTGATCTTTGTCAGTAACAAAGCTATGCACTTTTTAAAGTAATTGAATTAACAAAAAAAAAACTACTAGAAAGTGTAAATCGTTACTTTACACCTATATAATTAAACTTATATTATATTGGTGACGTTGATCCATACATTTTATTCAATATTTTTTTCATTTCTTCTATAGACCATTCTATATATAGATACGTTGATGACAGGATACATTATAAATATTTAAAATAATACTGTGAATTACTCTTTATAATATTTATATGTAATTATTATTTCAAATGTTCTTTGATTTAAGATTCAGTACCGTTAGTGTAAAAAAACACAACAATTTTGAAAAGTTTTATTTGTTTACAAGGGGTATTGTTAAATCCTTTCCAAGCCGTACAGTGGCCGTCTTGATGTTTGAGAGTTAAAACCCGTCGAAGTAAATAATACAACCCAACTTTATCCTGGAAGAATAATCCTTCAGGCTACTACCGATGTTCGAAGAGCAGCCTATAATATAACTTGGTGGCTTATATTATATTTTGTTATATTATATTTTGTTATATTATACTATGTTATATTATATTATTTTTGAATGAATGAATGAAATATGTTTATTTCCACATAATATATACAGAAAACAATAACATACTTTTTAATACAAAATACTTACAAAATAAAACTAAGACGAAGAATAAAAAAGAACATTTCTGTATAAACTAAATTAAATTGATTGTATGAAATACAGCAGACATAGGCAAGTGCTGCCTGTGCGTCTGCTGGGTTGCTATTTAATATTTATAGTAACTAAGTCATATGGAATTATTGCCTATAAAAAAGATGAATAATGAAATGAAAACTGTTGCTTAAAAGGTTATTAGTTTAGAAAGGAGATGTATATGAATTGTTAAATTGAATAAGATCTACAATGAATACAGTTTTGAACAGGGGGGGGACTAGACTTGTATTGTATTGTTGTATAATATACTTCAATGATAAAACCATTGACCATAGGATAAAAACCGTTACTGTAAATAAAACAATAAACAGTTAAAACTAAATAGCCTTTTTACTAACAAATTTATTAGACTATAGCGTTATTTTGTCTATTATCCGTCATAGTTATTTAGCACCACAGTGTATAACACAGTAGGATAAGTGATATTAAGATATAATACCAGTCGAGAGAAAGCCTTCCAAGGCGGAATGGACCGTGAACTGAATAAAGAGAAGTGAGATTTAATGACAGCGTTAAACAGGTGTTTTGGTGTTGATCTGTGATTACGGCTCTTTTGGTACGGCTTGATTCACTCGTTTTCATCAGGGTTACGTCAGATGACTCACTCATTTTTATTTATTGGTCAACCAAAATAAGTAGTGATGAAAAGAGCTGCTTCCTATGTCCTAGAATTCCGAGACCCTTGGTACACCATATAAAAAATAATGTTCAAATTAAGAAGTAACCAAAACGTTAAATTTTCCCATTGTATTGCATTGATGTTTTTAAAGCTCCTTACTACCCTTGGACCTAGTTATATCTTGCATTAATTGTACCATAGAGTTCCTTAATTGCGTCAAGCCCTCAAAGGATCCCAGAAGTGTTCCTTAGATGCGCCAAACCCAAGCCAGGTTAGATTGAGTTGCCAGCAGAAGGAATGTTCTTGTTTACGTGTCATCCCTAACCTACCTCTGAGCTAACCTAACCTAATCTAACCTAACCTAACCAAACCAAACCGAACATAACCTAACCAAACCTAACCTAACCTAACCTACTCAATCATACAGTCAACGAGGGCCTCCCACGTGGCGTAGTTCTCTGGAGTAGTTGGCGCAATTCAGGAATACCCGACTACCTGACTCAGGTCAATTGGCACAATTAATTAATGCCAGCCCTTTTTAAAAGTTCTTTAACACCCTTGGACCTAGTTCAAGAAATTGATAAGATTTACTTAAAGATAATAAACTGTCTCTTTCCAGGTACCATCGGCTTGCTTTGGAATGCTTTTGACATCGATTATTGGCGCTGCAAACTCAAGAGGAATAATGTCTGTCCAGACGAAGACATCAGGATATTTCTCTATTCACCGTAAGTGTTGCGTCCCCATCTTATAACAGCGTCCTACTTAAACGTTTGTTGTATTCGTTCAATTATTCTTTTGGTATCCCCGATTTCTTCCATGATAACATGACTCCACATTCCAGATAACATGATTTTACTACTACTTTAAAGGTTTTTTTAAAATGTCATTCAACATTTTAGGGTTTTAAGTTTTTTACACCTGAGATTCCTAGCAAAGAATGCCAAAGTAGGTATCCCAGTATATTTTACTTAGCTACTCCTGATTGGATGCCGTCAATAACCTAATGAGATCGTTTATGCATTTATTTGTTTCTATAATAATTTGCTTAGTCAAAAGTCACAAACAAAATATTATTAGGGGGTAGATATGTATGAAATTAAAACACAGAACCAGTATGGCTTGGGAAATTTGTATATGATGCTGCTGTAATATGCTCTTCTTTGATAAAACAAGGAAAGTAATTTGACCAAGGAAGTTTAAAAGAAAAAGTGTATCGTATCACAAACTGTTACCAGCTCCAATTAAACACACCTGATGAGCAGAGTTTGACAATGATCTTTTAACTTTCCGTTTGCAGAGACAAGAGCTACGCCACGCGTATCCAGATCCACAGTCCGTTGTCGCTCCAGGAGCAAGGTTGGGACCCTCTCCGCAAGAATGTCATCATCATCCACGGCTTCAACGGCACGGAGAGCAAAACTCCGATGACCTTCATCCGGGATGGTAAGATCGAAGAATCCTTGCTTAGGTATTAATGATGTTCTTTCTATCAATGGGTAAAATAGTGCCCTACACATTGCTTGTAAGCTTGTTAAAACGTTGGAGATCTAGGAAGATGTATGTATTAGAGTCACGATTTCCTTTATACGTGTGCCATGTGTCGTGGTGTTTTGTCAATATTTTGTGGCTCAAACTATTTCAAGAATCCATCTAAAATCAAGGGAATCTTCACATAAACATATTTATACTCAGAAACTGCAAAATAAATGTGACATACAATGATAACCTTAGAACAGTAAAGCTCAAGAAAACTGCACACGATGAATAATTATTGCAATGCCAAACAACAACAACAACAACATCATCATCATCATCATCATCAACAACAACAACAACAACAATAAACAACGTACAATGTATCTTTTTGCAAAGTGTTGTCTTCCGAATAATAGTTAGTAGAATAAATTACTTGACTTAATCTTCAAAGATAAAAAAACCTTTTAGTTTTATTCCATCCATCTCAACTAATGTTTTAAGGTCGCATTTGCAATGTTAAACCTGTCAAAAAGACAACATTTAGTAAATATCAAAACCTTCCAAGGTTATTGAACGTTAAGCTCACAGAAATTTATAGCTTGCAGGAGCTAAAGAAATGGCCGTAGTTTATAGTTTGTAGATTTGATCAACTGTTTAAGGTATAAAACTTCCACACATCCACACTTTTGAATAATGGCATTCAGGAAATGACTTTCTTGAGGTTATAGAAGGTGAATTGTAGCTTACTGCAGGTGGATTGCTGCAACACCATGATTCCACAGCCTACTTTTACTGAGAAAGCCCTCTTCTAGATGTATTTTCTGCTACATATTCTTCTACTTATTCTTTTAGTAACCCTCACTAATATGTCCCTAGCCTACATCCACAGAGGGGACTACAACATCTTCACGATAGATTGGGAGATCCTGACGCCGTTCCCGTGCTACTTGTCGGCCATCAGCAACTCTCGGCTGGTTGCGCAGTGCTCTGCGCAGTTCTACTCGTACCTGACCCACAGCGGTGCGCCTGCGCACACCATTCACTGCGTAGGGCACAGTCTAGGCGCGCACATCTGCGGCATGATGAGCAACCATCTCACGGAGAAGATGCATAAGATAATTGGTAAATGTTCACATTAAACTTTGGAGAAAGATTGCCTAATTGATTATAGATCTCGAATAAGTCTATGTCAAAAGAATTTTTGAATCTCTTATGGTTCATTACTCTATCAAATGGTTGTCGGGTTGACCCTGAGAAAATTCAGTAGCTTTTAATGGTTCAAAAGTGAGTCTAGTGGTCCTTGCCCACTAGGCTTTAATAAAATGCTTCTAGCATAATAAACCGTTTGTATAAGCCGTTAACAAGTGAATAGATCACTGTACTAAATTCTAAACTCCCTTGCATTCAAATTCAACTCAAAATACGCACTTATGTAGCTGTCTTGTTAGTGATGTTAGTTCAATTATGCTTATTTTCGCCATAGTTCCCTTATATATCACAAAACGTAATGTTCACTTATGAGGTTAGCATAGTGGAAGTAGTGTTCACCCACTGAACAGAATTTAAACTGTTCCCACACGATTTTTAAGTTTGACAGTAGCACAACCCATACCCATTGCATATCGAATGAAAGATATTAGTCTATTGAATTTAATGGCATCAAAACGAAATTCTGTATTACAGTAAATCCATTTTACCCAACTTAAGGCATTCCATTAAAATTTATGTGACGGTTCCATTGGTTGCGGCATTTAAGCCTTTCCCTTCCCGCGCATTCAGTGTATTTCATCCTTGAATGGGCTGTAAAAATGTCTGACAAAGTATATTCCAAGGTTATAACTAGTATGACTAGAAATCACTACAAACATTCAAGTTAACCCGGTTGCATAGCTTTTATTGTAAAATAGATTTACAATCCCATTGTTAAACGTTTCATAAATTGAGATTTGGGCATTCTGAAACGTGCAATGTTATTTTAGAACAAGATGTTTCAGTTTATCGATTACTTAAGTCTATGTAACTTATTCAGTAGTTATTGAACACGTAATTTTAGTTGGAAAGTTGACCATTTAACATTTGAATAGTTTTCAATGATATCCAAAGTACTGGAAATTCGATCAACTGGTTTGTCTATCAACTGGTTTGTCGATCAACTTGATTGTCGGCTAACTGGTTTGTCGATCAACTTGATTGTCGGCCAACTGGTTTCTCGATAAACTGGTGTCTCGGTCAAACTCTAAGCTCTAAATACACAAATTTCACATTTCCCTGTGTAGGGCTCGACCCGGCACGACCTTTAGTGGACAGGTACGGGTCCAGAGCCTTCAGACTGACCAGGGACGACGCTCACATCGTCCAAGTGTTCCACACGAACGCCGGTCTGCTAGGGGAGGTGCCTCAGGTGGGCCATGTTGACTTCTGCATCAACGGTGGCAGAATGCAGCCCAGCTGTCGCAAAGAGGGACGGCGTATCAGTAAGTAGTGCATCTTGTAACAGGCTAATTCCTTTCATAGAAATGAATTTGAAGATGGACCATTTGATGTTTTATCAGTAACTAAGTAAGTGCTAAACAATTCGCCAAAATGAAGGTGACATTTATTTTGCAGCTTCACTTAAAGGGCTTATCTCGAGAAACATGATCCTGAGCTAGGGCCATGAGCGGTACAATTTTAAGTTTCCTGAAAACATACGATTTTCCATTTCATTTTGCGATCATCCTGCATTGGTACTTAGTACAACTACGTACACAAAGTACCCTACTGTCTCAATAAGGTTATCAAGCGTGTAGGGTTACTGAGTACTGTGTATGAAAACTTCAGAAATCCCGACTAGTCTGTCCATTCTGTAACTAATATTATAGCCAGTTGCTTAAAGTTTTACATCTTGTTCTATCAGGACAGGCGAGATGCAGTCACTTCCTCAGTTCTTGTTTCTTCGCCGCCACCATCAGTGAGGCCGGTAGCCGCCACAAGGCCGCCCCCTGCTCGGTCACTTGCCGCCCTCTGCCTCCACCACTGGGCGGCCTGGACCGCACCGTGTCCATGGGCGTCCACACACCAGAGACGTAAGTAATCATAGAGGGGCCAGTAAATAAACTTTTGGTACTACACAGCGCTCATCAACTGCTCACTTTATAAAACTATTATTGGTTGTGCTTAGTTGTTTGTACCTCAGCATTCTGTGCGAGAGGTATTGGGCTAGATCCCCAGCATATCATAAAACGATCGAAGAATTTGGGCTGCTGTCTTGCAATCTTAACGTGGTATTTTGTAAGTGTTTACTGTTGCCACTGGCGCTTAATTTTTTTTGTTGGTCAATTGAGGATGTTCCATGCTTTAGTTGTTTCGTTGAATATAATGGTATAATAATCGCACAGCTGTATTTTGCTTTCAAGAGTTTTTCACAATGCAGAATGAGTAGGTACCGGTACGGTATCTATATATTAATAGGCAAACATGTTTCTTTAAAACCTTTTTTCTCAGCTCGTGTGCATCGTAGGGAAAATCTGCGCATACTGTCAGAAAGATATTTTCTTGTAGATGTGCAGAATCCCTTTATAAATATAAGCTCAAAAATAAGCAGAACAAATTAATTTTAAATAAAATAAAATAATATAAATAATTTATAAAATAATATAGACCTCCAGTTGTAGTAATGTTTTATCGTGCCGTACAAATTTTCACTTGCCTATCAGGCGTGTCTAATGATTGTCACAGAACATGAAGTCATTGACGTAGTTCCGCACTTTGGGTCGATTTTCACCCAAGTGAAAGCATTCCTTCATTCATGAACAACCAAATGAGTGCTGTAATTCAATAATTTTTTGTAAAAGAACATTTATTTCACTGCAATCAAAAATTTTTTATTTGTTTAGATAGTTATGCCGATTGAAATTTTTCCAATCGTATATCATTATTTCATAAGTAACGGATCCATTAAGATTTTTAAACCAAATTTTAAACCCGGTGAGAAAATGAGGAATACAAAAAGGTGGTTCCATAGTTAAAAACTGTTAGTTTTAGCAAGTAACAAAGCTATAAAAACATCACAACTAGCTCTGGGTTGAAATACTTGTCGCGTCTGAGGTAGGTAAGTAAAACATACAATTAAAAAACCCGTAAAATTACGAGGTACTTTTTGTAGTGCGTGTAATATCTAGCTAACCCATAGGCATAAAAAAGTTAAAAATCAGTTTTTTTTTTCAAAAACTTTGGACAAAAGCTGATTATTAATTTTTTTTATATAATTTAACTAAGCTTTACAATAGGGTTTTACAGTAGGTGTATTGGCTTATGAACAAGAATTTGATTGAAAAATACGCCCGCCTCTCATCACGAAATGATAGTAAGTAAGTAAGTAGCAGATAAGCAAAGCATACAACAAACACACATTGTGGATCACGTGGTTGGTCACGTGTACATTGCGGGACTCTAGTCACGTATTATCTTGTTTGATCACGTAAAGAACTACGTGATCTTATCCGACTAAAATACGTCATTCATTTCCCTGAAACACCAACGTGCAACCGTTTAAAAATTAACTAGGCTTCGGACTATTATGTATGGCACACCTAGTACTGTATACGGTTAATTCGTTATTTAAAATAACGGAATAAGCTAAAAATGTATTACTTACACAATTAAAATATTCAAAATTTATTTAACAAATTTCTCCCTTGAACTTATTTTAACGTTGATTTGTTTGTAAAATAGTACAGTTAAACACCAAAATCATGGTACGGGGTACGGGATAGCACGGACTAATTCAATTTAGCCACGAAGTCGTTCCTTAGTGGACTCCGAATTCGAACAAGCTAAACAGAACCACATGAGAAAGGAGTTGAAAGTAATTACTACAAAAAGTAGTCCCCTTTCACTACATAACATACAGCTGGGTAATGAAACACTAAACCCATTTTATAGTTATCAGCTCTTGTTGGAAATCGAGGAGAACGTAGTTTTTGTTTTCTAAAAAAGAGAAATATATTGATCAAAGTGTGTTTCATTATTACGCAAGCTGATGGAATTTACTTTATGGAGAGTTGAGGAGTTGTAGATGCCTCATAGAATCACCATAATCGTTGAATAAAATTGTTTCAATAGTGTTGTTTACATGTTTTAAAATGTATACAAATCGTTAGTGGCAATAAAGTTTAACAATTGCATTTCAATTAAAACACACAAAAATCCTATTTATGCAACTACGGTTATGCCCTATTTGTGTGGTTTTAGACATCTTTGAATTACGAAAAGTAAATATATAAATCTTTGAATTGTATCACTGTTTTGTTTCAGTAATTTGTTATAACCTTATTTAGCTACATAAATCAAATATGTAAAGTGCTGTACCTATTGGATTAGTGGTCGTTTCCAAACTGGGACGTAAATGTAAACTTAAAGACTTTTTCTGTACTGTGTTTTGGTCGTGGCTTGATTTTAACATATGCGATGATTCGTTGTTTTGTTTACATTTGTGTCGTTATTTTTGTAATCATTATGGCAACCCATAAGGCCAATGTAAAAATGTATTATATAGGCATTATCAAAAATTTAAATTGGTTTCGTTTAAACCTTCCAAACATATGTCAAAACAACCTAGGTAAGTTTGCCTAAAATATGTTCAGCCATTATTGAGTTTTAGTGTTATAAATATTGCATTGAAGTTGATCCCACAGAGCTTCGCTTCGCTCCGCACAATAAACGCCGGTTCCAAGGTTTTCTTAATCTTAAACGATAACGATGTAATAGTATTTTTACAAAAATCTGCTAATCACACATCCAGCAAATTCTTTTCCGAACTACTGATACAAACAAAATACGCCAAACCAAATAGTTCCCCCACATAGTTGTTTTGCAATAATCATTATCATACGTCCACAACAATAACCTCTTACCGCCGCAGGGAAAGCTTTTAACGCTCGTAAGGTCCGGACAGTATTACTGGTATTACCCTATAATCTACATTCCCCACGGCGCATGCCTGAGGCGCTAGAAAGTTGCGCATGTGCATTTTAACTGATCTAATTATGCGAGAAAAAGTCGAGGAGAAATTAAGTGACTTTCATACGGATTCCATGAGACAATGACGTCATGAGATCGCTCAGTGCACTCAATTGAGCGCCTAATCCATGGGAAGCACTCAATGGCTCACAATGCCTATGGGAGCTTATGGGAAAGTGGGAAGTATGTTTTACTATTCGTGCTCTTAAGTTAGGGAAGCATATTGTTCCTGAGTAATGGTTTCATTCCCAATCGTGCATTATTTGTAAATATGAGAAAAGGGTTACTTTCTGTATTGTAGTATAATTTTGTGAAAGTTGTCCTCCTAATTGTTGAATTAGTGTGGAAATGAAAATGTTTCTCTTTCAAATAATAACGTCAGTTTTGGGAACCCAGTTCATCCTTAAATTGTATACAGTATAGGGAATTTTCGTATATATAGCCAAAACCTATAAGCTATGTTAATAAAATAAATTATACAAATTGAACCGTTGACCATAAACTCTACGTTTTAGGTTTACGGTCAAGGATTTATTTATTTATTTATTCTCAACGGTAAACACCATTTTACAAACAATTGATTAATTTATAAAGTGCAGACATGAAAGTGAACTAGCAAGCAGACTAAGGTAATTCTAAAGTAGCTTATATAATTATATGAAAAGCAAACCGTGGTAATATAAATAATAAAGAAAAGAGTTGAGCAATACTCGAATGTAAACAATAAAGAATTTAAGTTCAACGTGAAAAAATACTCAACGAGCAAAAGGAAACAAGAATAAGATTTAAAAAAACTTATCAAGGCTTAACAACGACAGCAACAACAAGGCTTAACAAGGGATTTAATTCAACGACGAAAAACAGCCTATCATTTAAAAGCATTAGTTAGAAAGGACCTAACAAAATAATCACACAAAATAAACTCCACCAAAGACAATTAATTGTCTTTTATAAACAATACATACTACTCTGGCAATATAAATCTATCATGATTATTAAATTCAGTAAAAAAGTAATGGATTGAACAAATTAGGAAAAGGCTCGTATTCTCTGGTATTTGCATTTAGTTCAGATCCAGACCTATTCCGTATTCCGTAATGCTTTACTCTACAACTAAAATTACTTTTTTGAAATTTAGTGGATGAAGTAATTTACGAATTATCGTGCGAGTAGGTATTGTATGGTCATTGAAATATCAAAAGTGCTTGTTTTCCATAAATAAATACAAGCAATTTCAGAATAACCGTTTATTATCTTTGTATTAAAATTGCTTGTTCACATTTTTTATTTAGATTCAGACATACGGAGACTGATTCTATGTATATAAAAAAGTGTTTATAAATTTCAAAACTATCTTTTAAAACTATACGTTTCGAGGGCCAGTTATCGCAAGCGCCTGCAAGTCTATACTGACAACTTACATTCTCGACGTCCATGTGTGCTGCGTTTGCTTTTAGAAGGTGTTCATTGAAATAGAAAAGTTTCTATATTGTGATCATACGATCATACTACTGTAATGTAATTTTAGAGCATCAATTTGGCATGACTACCGAATTCAAATTAAGTTTCCTACTTAGTATTCAAACAGAAAATATTATTTATTGTACCAGCTACAATTTAGAAAATTTGTTGAGAATTTCCAATTTTTTTATTTTATTTGGAAAGACTTGAAGTGCTATTTTCCTGCCTAATTTTTTTTTAAATTCTGTTTCAGTGTGCGAGGGACTTACTGCATACGAATGGATGACGCTCAGCGATGCCCCTTTGATTAGTAGCCACTATACTGGGGGTGAAACATCTAGGCAGAGCTACACCAAGGCATTGTAGCCTGTAGTGCATACAACATGTACTCACTGACCCTACCATAGTGACAGATTTCAACCAAAGCCATATCATGATGCGATATTTAGTGAATAACAACATTTATTTAATATCTAATAGTAATTATATTGAGATGCTGAACGTGTAGAATGTACATGTTCAGATGTTTCTGGTATTTTATTTTTATTATTTTCCATTATTATTATGTTTGTTACAAATTACCTAGATAATATGAATTGTATTTTGCCTTCACAATATTATATTTTGCATCTATTTATGTTCTATTGCATTTGATAACAAAATTGAAGACATGGTACAATTACCTAAAATAGATTAGATAGAAAGGTGATTTTTAATATTGTATTTAAAAATTTTAATCCATCAACTAAAAAAAAAACTTAAAATTATTCTTTTTTAAACAATTAAATAATAGAAATTGTTATAGAATAATTAAGTTTAAATATTTAATTGTATACTTTTATCGACCATAGGCAGTATTTATTTAGTTATTTATTTTTAGGTTTATACATTTATTTAATATTAAAAACATCATTTCCCATACACAACTAGACATTTTATAGATTTTCAAACAGTTACGGGTTCAATTTTTATGGTTTTTAGAGCAAATAAAATAGTTTACTATATTTAACATGCATTTATAGAATTTTTAAACAAATCAAAATGCCAAATAAAGAAGTTAGTATGTTGTAGTAAAAATATTGTAATATTGCTATACCTCAATAAAATAGTGTATGATTGTATTAGATGTGAATTAGTTCAAATACAATATTTTCATGTAACTAATCCATTATCTTTATCAAAATGGTTATTTATTTTCACCCAACTTAAAGAACCTAAATATTAAAATAAAAAGTATTAAAAATAAAAGTCTAAATACAAAGACTAAACATTTGTGATCAAAAAATGCTTTTACATTTAGTAAGTAAATATATAAAGAGGAATAAGATTCTCTTCAAGTAAGAGCGTGTAGCCTAAACTAAAGTTTAACCATAAATTTCAAAGATGAAAATAATAGAGAATCTAATCTCTTCTTAAAAACTAAATAAATATAAATTTTATTTGTAATTTCATTGCTTAGGTCATTAAGCAACAAGAAAGACTATGCTATGGTCATTTTATGGAGGTACTGTATCTAATTTGGTCTGCCAAATAATTACAACAGATGATTTCAGCACTAGTCAAAGGTCCTATGCTAAAATATCCCAGTATTGAGATAAATCGGGTAAAGTGTTCTTAATGTAATAGTATATTTTGTACCTAGGGCCGAAAATGAGCAACAAACATCAGCTCTCGATCGATTTAAGTTCTTGACTTCGTCTCGAACTTAAAAACTATCTCGAGCCTGCAAAACCATTTCGGTCCGTGGTACGAACGCTATTTTTCACCACACTATAACCTATTACCAACACTATTCACCACTATAATAATGCACACTGATAGTCAACACAACTTTAAGGTTATGTGACGAAATAATTTGAGAAATCAGCTAAAATTAAAATAAATAGTTGCTAGGCAACGGTGACAATAACACAATTCTATTGCAATGCTATGGATTTTCATTGTGTATTTAAAATGCATTCATGTTTTAAGTAAGTAGCAAATTACGATGACAGCTGGCATGGCCAGCAAAACGTAACTTTCAGCCACCAATTAACGTATGTAATACAGCCAAAAATATCATAGTGAGGGGAAAACTTATTTTTAAAATTTATTTCTAATTGGCAAGAACCTACCCAAGAAGAAATATAATTTTTAAAATATAACACTGCCATAGATATTACTTCATCTATGCCATTACCTTGAATTGTCGATGAGGAATTTATATGGATAGTCACTTCCACAAACCATCAATAAAATTATATTTTACATCTCATATAATACTGAACAGTTCTATGTACATTAAGATGATTTTTACAAAATGCTTAGAAACAAAACTCTTAAATCTAAAATAACAGAAATAAATCAAAATGTCTTTATATACTCGTATTTGGTAAACATTGGTGGGTCAAAAGAATCTACGAGCAAAACGGTGAGTTTTCACAAAATATTAGGCCTAGCTTTTCCACTTTAAAAACATCACAAAAATCAGTTCAACAATAAAAACACATCACACATTATGCGTCACAATGAAAAAAGGTCATCATAAGAAAAATTTTAATAAACTTTGAAAATAATTTGAAATTTTCAATAATCTTTAATTATTTATTAAAGTTGTTATGGCTGTAGTATTCGCCTATATAACATGTCTCTGTGAGATTTCCCAGCATTCCCTTGTACAGAACATCGTTGATCAGTTTGTCTGCGTGTAACCTTTGGATGTTGTCCATACTGCGCATCTTAGCCGCAACCATTTTGCCCAGAAGTTCACACTCCGAATCCCCCATGTTGGCGAATTCCACAGAGCTGTAGGACGGCGGAGGTGTAGGTTTAAGCCGTTTCAAGGGTGAAAAATCGGAAAATTCTGGAGGCTCTCGTCTCTGGGTGCTCCTACTTGTGAAGTCAATCTGGAATATTAGGATGAGGTTAACCTTAAAACATTATGATCATATGGTTTAATTGGCTTTTTGATGGCTTAAGAATCCGACCAAAGAGGAGTACCTTAATGTTGATTCTACGAAATTCCCTTAGAATTTAAACGATTACCTGAAAATACAGCTAGCTGAGTAGCAGCATAGACGAATAGAATAAATATAGACTGTCAAAGGAAGGTTCCGGCGCCCACCGCTAGGAGTGCCTTGTAGCTACGGCGCACACAGCTGCAGACGAGGAGCCCAGCAGCGGTGTGCGCCGTAACTACACGGCAAACCTAGCGGTGGACGCCAGAACCCATGCTAACCGCAGCATAGCCTACGGTCTATATTTATTCTATTTCTCTATGGTAGCAGGTTGTATGAAGGATGAACAATAAATCTGTGCCACCATTGGTATTTTGGAACCCATTATCTTTATAGACAACATTTAAATGAAGAAGTTTAACTGTTTTTTATGACATAAAAAGTTATGAATCCTACTTTTAGCGAATTTCCCATATAGGGAATAAGCTATTACCGTAGTACTCACGGTAAGACCTGGACCCGGGAGCGATTTTTTTTCGTTTTGAGGTCCCTAGAGGTCAAAAACACCATCCGTTCAAATTCATATATATATATATATATTTATATATATATTTATATATTTATATATATATTTATATATATATTTATATATATATTTATATATATATTTATATATATATTTATATATATATTTATATATATATTTATATATATATTTATATATATATTTATATATATATTTATATATATATTTATATATATATTAAATATTTAAGTAAATAAGTACAACTGAGCACCCTGAATATTATATTTTATAAAAAGAAGTGACATGTTTCGGACATTAGTCCATTTTCAAACTTCAAAATACATTAAACACTTAACTATTGTTTATATTGTTTGTTTGTAAATAAATATGATTTATATATACAGATGGTTTATAGAACTAGATAGGATTTGGAAAAACTTTTTGTTACTGATTATTTAATTTTAAAATTTGGTCAAAGATTGGGTTTCTTGAAGGAATTTGGCTATTTAAAATATGATTTGGATTTTTTAGATTTTCTTTGTATATGAAATATTCTTCAGTTGAATCCATTTGATTTCCTTTGTTTAAAACTTTTAGAATTTTCATGTTGTTTTTTAAATTTGTGTAATTGTGGTTGGTCGATAAAAGGTGTTCAGCAAAGTTTGATTTCATGGATGTTCTGTTGTTACTCTTAAGAGCTTGAATGTGTTCTTTGAATCTAGATTTAAAAGAGCGTCCTGTATATATCACATAGCCTATACAGGGTGAATTTTAAATGAGTTCCCCCCTACTTTTTTCTACATTTCTTCAGATATCAACTTCGGACCACGTCAGATCATTGTACTGTAGTAAGTACTTCATTTTGACTGGGTAAACATTTTTGGCCGCCATCTTGGATCCGCCATATTGGATACAAAATTTATTTTTCAAATGTAAAGGTAGGGTTGTGACCCATTGTTTCAAACTAGAATCTTACGCTGATTACAATGCCGCAATTAGTTTTTAAAAATCTTGATCCGTTCTAAAGTTATGAGGACTTTTTATAACTTTATTTTTAGCCCATTTAAACATTGTGCATTTACAAACTAAGACCATAATCTCAAAATAGTGCTAGGTAAAGATAAGTATACACCACCATTCGTTGTCGACCTATTATCACTTGGTTATGACGGATGTATTTTTTTTGGCCGCCATCTTGGATCTGTCATTTTGAAATGCGATAAATTAATTTAAATATGAAGGTGGTGTTGTGACCCATTATTTCAGACTAACTTTTTATGCTGAACTCAATGCCGCAATCCGTTTTTGTTTCTCAGGCTTTCTTGATGAAATATTAAAATTATCTTACCTAAATTTCCAATATTTCAAAAAACAAATATGAAAATGCAAAACGGATTACGGCATTAAATTCAGTATAAAAAAGTAGTCTGAAATGATGGGTCACAACACCACTTTCATATTTAAATTAATTTATCACATTTCAAAATGGCAGATCCAAGATGGCGGCCGAAAAAAATACATCCGTCATAACCAAGTGATAATAGGTCGACAATGAATGGTGGTGTATATTTATCTTTATCTAGCACTATTTTGAGATTATGGTCTTAGTTTGTAAATGCACAATGTTAAAATGGGCTAAAAATAAAGTTATAAAAAGTCCTCATAACTTTAGGACGGATCAAGATTTTTAAAAACTAATTGCGGAATTGTAATCAGCGTAAAATTTTAGTTTGAAACAATGGGTCACAACCCTACCTTTACATTTGAAAAATAAATTTTGTATCCAATATGGCGGATCCAAGATGGCGGCCAAAAATGTTTACCCAGTCAAAATGAAGTACTTACTACAGTACAATGATCTGACGTGGTCCGAAGTTGATATCTGAAGAAATGTAGAAAAAAGTAGGGGGGGAACTCATTTAAAATTCACCCTGTATATATATGTGTCCGTTAGCGCAATAACTCGAGCAAAAATGATCCGATTTTGATGAAATTTGGTACAAACGTGTAAACCTACGTTTATTCGAACGAGTTCGCGAACCAGCATGATCGGACCATGGGAACGTTGGTTTATGGGGGTTTTTCCCATTTTTGACCCAAAAATCATAAAATTTTGCAATTTCTTTCGAAACTATTTTGTAGAGCTTAAAAAAACAAATAATTTAGTATATTGAAGCGTTATAATGGGCCTAATGGTTACGGAGAAAATTCCAAAAAATTGTAAATTTAAAATTCCCATGTTATTCTTATGGAGAATAACAAACTGTTGTAGTTTGCTTGTTTATAAACATATTTTGCTCAAATTTGGAAAATGTTTTTATTTCTTACTAACTATTACCATTTTACATAAAATACATAAAAAAACACTTTTACCCTCCCTGTTGCAGCAAACCTAAGTATGTTTTAAACTGATTCTATTTAAATAGGGAATAAATGTGATATTTTTAAGGAGACATTTTAGTGTAAATCCATTCAGGGAAATGGAAATTCGCTTAGTCTGCAGGTTTGCTGCGGCGGGGGTATTTATATATGTATAGATTATGTTATAGATGGTATATATATATAGATTTATATATATGTGTCCGTGATCACGATAACTTGAGTAATTTTTATCTGATTTTGATGAAATTTGGTTTGAAGGTGTAAGGCGGGATAAACTTGAATGAGTTCGCGATCCAGCATGATCGGACCATGGGAACAGGGTTTTATGGGGGGTTTTATGGGGTGAAAATTGGTTTTTCTCACTTTTGACCCTCAAAACACAAAATTTTCCAATTTTTCTCTAAACCTTCTTAAAGAGCTTAAAAAACAAACAATTCAGTATATCAAAGTGTTTTTGTACAGTTATTGGTTACAGAGAAAACTAAAAAAAATGGTAAATTTAAAATTCCCATGTTATTCTTATGGAAAATATTGTAAAATGTTGTAGTTTGCTTGTTTATGGATATATTTTGATCAAACTTGGCAAATTTATTTATTTTATAGTAAGCTATCAATATTTTACTAAAAACACACTTTATTAGTTTCCTTGTAGCAGCAAATCTAGGTACTCGTTAAACCTAATATTATTTAAATAGATAAATTGAAAATCAATTCAGCCAAATGGAAATTCGCTTAGACGGCAGGTTTGCTGCGGCGGGGGTATTTCAGATATGGGCACCATTTTGAAATAATATGGCGGCTATCTTAAAAATTTCTCGGGAAAATTTATTTACAATCTAAACCCACTTAACATCATTTATCTATGCAACATTTCAGGTGATGACAATGATGTAAAGAAAACTGGAATATCGACATATTTATCAAATGGTTTTGTCATTAAACGGTATTTCAATTCAATCATTTTTAAAGTGCACAATGAACACATTATTTTCACAGTACAGTACTTGTAATATTTGGCTTGCGATGAAAGAAAAACACCCTGTATTATTCCCTTTATTCCCTTTTAGAGCCCTACTGTTCCAAGGGTGCAACAATCCTTGCTCTTCCACTGCTGCATTAGTGTAATAAAAATAAATAGGCTAAATAAATCAAACTTACAAGTTAGGTATAGGTACCTTTGTCAAACCAAACCAAAATCATACATCCGAAGAATATTTTACCTGTAGTAATCCTAGCTGATTACATCCAGAAGTAGTTTGCTGTTGTGGTTGTTGTTGTGGTTGTTGTTGTGGTTGCTGTTGTGGTTGCTGTTGTGGTTGCTCCTGGGCTGCCTGGAAGGTTTCTGTACTTGTAGGGCAAGGAAAATCGATCTACAACAAATTAATTTATCAACATGTGGTTGTGGTATTATCATGGGTTGGTACAAGCTCAGAGGCGGCCCTATGTAAGGGCAAACAAGGCGGTGCCTGGAGCCTCGTGTTTTTCAGGGGCCCCGCACAGCCGTATTTCAGGTACTGTACCTTATGGGGCCCCGCAATCTCTAGAGCCTCCACTGTACAAGCTGCAAGGCATACTTACAATCCAATATGAGAGTATACAAGGTGTCCTGTAAGTAAACAGCCAAACTCCAGGAAATGGTTCTATGGGTGAAAATAAAGAGAAAGTTAAGAATAATATATTCCAAAAATCGCTTAATTATCCAGATATTCGCCATTTTGTTTTTTCATAGCCTATACATTTTTATCACAATTTTTTCAGCCGACCATAATGAAATTTGGTATGTAGGTATGTTAAGGTAAAACAGACCCACGTCAGAAAAATAATTAGCCTATGTCAATCCAACTAAAAATTTTAAAATGGCGGCCATTTTAATATTGTAAATTAAAATTGCTGAAAATGGCTAATTTTATGAAAAAAATTTCAATAAGACTTTTATTCAGCATTAAAAAAAATTCCTATCAAACGACTCCAAGTTCAAAAAGATTGAATAAAAATATCCGAAATATCATGTATTTTAGGTGTACTATGAAGCATACCTGAAGAGCTTAGGATCAGAGATCATTTTACAATTTAAAATCGTGATATTTCAGTTGTTTTTTATCTGATATTTTTGAACTTGGTGTTGTTTGACAGGGAATTTTAAATGCTAAATAAAAGTGTTCTTATTATTTTTTTATAAAATTTGCCATTTTTTTGCAATTATACAAATTAAAAAGTTAAAATGGCTGCTATTTTTTTTATTGGAGTAAGATATTTTTTCTAATGGGGGTCTGTTTTACTTAAACATAAATTATACCAAGTTTCATTATGATCAGTTGAAAAATTCAAATACCCCCGCCGCAGCAAACCTGCAGACTAAGCGAATTTCCATTTGACTGTTTGGATTTACACTGAAATGTCTACTTAAAAATATAACATTTATTCTTGATTTAAATAGAATTAGTTTAACAAGTACTTAGGTTTGCTGCATCAGGGAGGGTAAAACTGTTTTTTTTTTTTTTTTTTTTTTTTTTTGTAAAATGTGAATAGTTAGTGAGAAATAAAAACATTTTCCAAATTTGATCAAAATATGTTCACAAACAAGCAAACTACAACAGTTTACTTATTCTCCATAAGAATAACATGGGAATTTTAAATTTACAATTTTTTGGAATTTTCTCCGTAACCATTAGGCGCATAATAACGCTTCAATATACTAAATTATTTGTTTTTTAAGCTCTACAAAATGGTTTGGAAAGAAATTGCTAAATTTTATGTTTTTTGGGTCAAAAATGGGAAAACCCTATTTTTACCCCATAAAACCCCCCGTAAACCCCCGTTCCCATAGTCCGATCATGCTGGATCGCGAACTCGTTCGAATAAACGTACGTTTACACGTTTGTACCAAATTACCAAATTTCATCAAAATCGGATAATTTTTGCTCGAGTTATCGTGCTGACGGACACATATATATATATATGAATTTGAACGGATGGTGTTTTTGGCCTCTAGGGACCTCAAAACGAAAAAAAAAATCGGTCCCGCGTCCAGGTCTTACCATGAGTACTACGGTAATAGCTTATTCCCTATATGGGAAATTCGCTAATACAAAAATGTTTATGTAAAAAAAATTGGCGGACATCTGGATAATGAAGTGATTTTTGGAATATATTATTCTTAACTTTCTCTTTATTTTGACTCATAGAACCATTTCCTTGAGTTTGGCTATTTACTTACGTAACACCCTGTAAATTATTTTTAATAGGCCTATAGTATTTTTCTTATAGCTTATTTCATTACTGTATTATTAAATTAGTTACTACTTTGTATTTAACTTTTTTAATTAGTTGGCTTTTTAACATAAAACTAATCAATTGAATATCAAAATATCCATTATTAGCAAGCGATTGCTATAGTGAAGGCGTCAACTTAATGGGCATAGTTTAATTCCAAACGATTGATACGAAGAATAGATTCCCTTATCTGATAACCACCTTCAACTTTAACAATCCCCTTGCTTGAGTTTAAGTTGGGTTTAACTATCTAGGGCCTAAACTGATGTAAATGTGAAAAATGATAATGATTAATTTTTACAATACTACTTAACTTACTTCGTTTTCCAAACAGGACTCCTGATTGATACTGTTGTCTTCCTCTGCCTTGATCACTGTTTCAGTCTCAGTCTCATCTTCCCGTACTTCGTTTTTCACAACAGGTGAATCTTCAGTTTCGTCCCCATCCTTTTTTTGATCCTGAACAAGGAACAGCAATAAATCAAAATACCACAACTTTGGCTTGTACTCTATATTATTGGCAGCTTTCTTCAAAACTATTGCATACTGCTTCCTGAAGCACCCTCTTATAATTTGTACCCTTTTTTTGAGAAACGTTAACGTAGCCTCTGGTAGGAATTGTTTGGTGTAAGTCAACAACTCGTTGAAAGCCATTTTCTTATCAGATCCAACGTGGACGGTGTATTTTTTACGGTTGGTTTTCCAAAGGCACGGAAAACTCTTGTACATCTCGATAAATTTTGTCAGTACACTAGGATTCATGAAGACGGAACTCATGTGTCTTTCAGATTTTATCACAAGGTCGTAGCCACTGTTGTTGTCTGTGAAGATACCACTGCCATCAGATGTGAGACTTTCGTCAATTTCAGATTCAGACATGTTGCGTTTGGATATAGTCAATGGTTTGGATCACAATCCACGTAGCAAGTCAAGCAGTCTGTGAGCCTACTTGAAACCCCCCACCACTTTGGAAACACTTTATCCAAACAAACACACACCGTTCAACCAAACATGTCAGTAGAAGACACAACACATAAAGGATTCAATACAAACACTATAGCAAATAAACACTTGGTTGTAAGCACTTCACTGCAGCAGTCCGAAGTCCGAGGTCACAGAGTGGCACGTGACGGTTAAAACTCGCCAAGCAAACCAGACTACAACAATCTGGCTCACATTCACAACGAGAACGAGGCTGAGCGGCTAGTCAGGCAGCCCCCCCCCCTCATCAGCTGGCAGCTATGGCGGGCGCCGGGCGGCACCGTGTTTGGCGCGGCATCACTAGCGCTACACGACAGGAGCGGGTGTTGTAGGAACTATCGTTTCACTCTGACTCTGGCAAGTCTGGCTTGGGCTCGACCAGCTGTGACGTAAGGAATTCCTTTGTTCAACTACCAACTCATCCATCCCCTCTACTCCTACACGTATACTACGCATCGCTCCGCTCTGTTCTTTGGAACGACGTCGCAAGTCTGTCTATGCATCAACATGCATGCACCTTCCTTTACTTTTTTGCAAAGCCTTGAGATTTTGTAGAGCTCTTTTTCCTTTTTATGGTTGAAATTGTTTATCACATAAGGCATTATCATTTAGATAAAATCCCTTTGTGATTTGAGGGATTTGAACCTGGGTCCTTGAGAACCGAAGTTCCGCGCTCTACCACTAGACCAGCTCACTCCATCTTCCCTTTGGATTGATACAAGGACAACTAGATTTTACCGGCGTTCAAGTTTTTTTGCAAAAATAGAGTTGACTAGAAAGGTTTCTGGCCTCTTGTAGAAGAGTTTTTCAATCTACAAAAATGCGTGTGTGAGTGTAACATTTTTTTATGTTACAGCCATTAGTCAAAGGTTACAACCTAATTATATAACATAAGTATTTTCGTTTGCTGAATTTGTAGTTGGCGATGCCATTTTTTATCCCGTCGCCCTTTTAACACAAGCTACAAACATACATCCTCAATGTGGAAGAAAGTTTGTTAAACATATTTGTTTATTAGTCTTCACATAAGAAAAACTGTAGTCAAAATATTATGAGCAATACCTTTACGATTCCCTACTAAACGATACCAAGTTCAGTTAAAAAAGATCGAATAAAAAGTAGTTGAAATATCATGATTTTGAGTTGTAAAATGGGAAAGAACAAGACCGAGCAGGTTTGCCTCATTTTACAACTAAAAATCATGATATTTCAGCTATTTTTATTTAATTTTTTAAAACTTGGTTTCGCTTAATTGGGCATGCTAAATAAAAGTCTTCCCGACGTTTTATCGTAAAATCTGCCATATTTTAGTAATTTAAGTTTAATGTTTTTAAATGGCCATCATTTTGATAATTTAAAAGAAAATACTGTACATAATTAATTTTTTAAATCGCATCTTGACACAATAAATGTACGTGCAAAGTTTGGTTTCCGTAGCTTAAATAATTCTTCAAATATAAATTGTTTTGTAAAAAATACTAAATGACAGCTAGCGGCTACGAATTTTTTTTCGACCTATGTTGATATAAAATTTATAGATTGATTAGTACTATCAGCCCCTAAAGTTTGTGACAACCCATTATCAACACCCTATGAATGTCTCAATAACAATTTAAATTTTAATTAAATTCAACTCACCTGTAATTGTTTATCTACGTTGTGTTGTACGTTTGGTTCTGTCGGTAACTCCGTTTCTTGGGCTACATCTGTTATATTTTTGGTCTTTACAGTATCTGTCAACATAGAAATTACAATTACTGTATTTATTGTTTTGTAAAGTAGCTCAATTCCAGCAATTTACTTGATTTTACTTTTACTTCATTTTAGCAACAAAGTTGGTTGCAGTACATACGTCTAATTTGGATAGGAAATATGCCTAAAGGATGAACCACGAGACCATTGATTTAATTTAAACCTAGGCCAGTAGGTACATATTTATTTAATGACGCTTCCCATAGTATACATATTTTGTTACTAGTTTGGGTGTCCTGTGGTGTACGGCTGTTGTATGTGTGCTCGATGTATTGGGTAGAAAACCTTGTATACCACGAGTACCTTGTAAGTACTGTGGCGTAGCACAAGGTAGTATTAGAAATTTGCAGTCGCAACTAAACCTGTGTGCGCAGAAGGTACATGAGCATCCTGCAATTGCAAAAATAACCAATAGGCTTGGCTAGGGAGTTTCAAAATGGCAGTGAAAAATTTATGAAGGAATTGCGTTTTTGATGGGTACATAGATTCCCAGAAGACCTGGGAAGGATTTCACGGCAATTTTTACACAATACAGTAGAACCCATTTAAGCACTTATCCTTATTCATTGATATCAATATGGAAATAGCATCTTAGCCTTCTCTAGCACCATCGATGTATGGGCGCGACCGGTGCGACATTCGAACTGGCAACAGTGGCAACGCCACAACCCCCCCCCCCCCCCCCACCGTACGAGTCCGGCTCGGACTACACTTGTTTATATAACTTATTTTTTTTTTGCAAAGGAAACCCCCACTTTTTATGATATTTTTGGATTCTACGTAAAATTCTAAGGCATTTTTATTCTTGTAATTCGTTTTATACTCCTATGCGTTTCGGAGGCACAGCGATTCAGCCTAGTTCAAAGCCCAAATTCCTAGAAAGTAGTGCTATCTCGTACAGCGTATATTATAACTTAATACTTAGTGCAATTGTAGTGACAGATCTTATAATAATGGTGACATAAAATATTCACTAGAGACTGATACAGAAGCGCAAATTTTCACTAAATATCTAGAGGGGAGTATCTAAGGGGGTATGTTATTCAATCTTATGATATTATAACATTTAGCAGACTGCATGTATATTAAAAATGCTGTTAATAAGTTCAACTGTATATTTAGGCATAGAAAAAAGGTAAACTGATCTGGTTAATTCTTCAAAATATTTGAATCGACTTTTTTACCAATAGAGTTTTCGTCTTGCTTCATCTCTTAATCATTCAAATGCTGTATCAACAATTTGTACAATTTGTATCAACAATTATAACTTCTTAGGTTTTGCAAGTTCTTACAAGCTTTACAAATTGGGCCCACTTTTGCCAAATAGAACTAGGGAAAACTGGGCTGTTACTTTTTTCACCTAATATTTGTATTGGAAATAATGCCTCCGTTGTTGTGCACACCAATACTTAGGCCCTTATTTACCCGTATACTAATCTATTTTAGGTCCTTAGAAATATCAATATTATACACAATACAACTGTTATCATCATTACAAACAGATAACTTACTGCAGTCACTTGTTGAAGGAAGGTTGTGGTAAAATGAAGCAAAGTCCCCGACTTCGTTTTCTATGACAAGTCGAATTTCTTCATTTTGTTGGCTTTTCTTTAACCTACTGCTACCTCTTCTTTTAGGAGTCTTTCTCGTTGTCGTTTTACGTACACTGACATACGAAGGTACTTTTGGAAATAGTCTAGGCACTGCATTCTTAGATAAAGCTGGCTTCTTGCGTCTATATTCACACCAATCACCGTCTTTGTTCTTGTATCTTTCCACAAAAACAAGGTCATCTACATGAAAATGTTTCACACACACACGCGAACTGTTTGAGGGAGTCCAGTCCGATCGCGGAATAGCACAAATCCATTGTTGCCTACGCGCCGGATCACTTGGTATCATAAAAAGCTGTATGTAACCTTCGGTTTTGATTGAGCTCTCGTAGTTACTCCTGCACCCAGGCACAACACATCTATCCGGCATAGTAGTAGCTGTAGAACCACGTGTGAGTCTGTACGGTACGCGAACGCGACTCCAACACTCTCACTCTCCCTCCGGCCTCCACACTAAGATGCGACGTTGCCAGTTTTCGTTCGCCGCGACCTTCGGCCTTGTAATACTTGACGCGCGCGAGTCGCTACGCTACGCTACTGTCCACAATGCCAATGCGCACGCTGGTTTTCTGAGTCAGACTGTCGGCGCCAAATGAGTCAGACTCAGCGAGCTTATTCTTATTCTTATTGTTCCATGCTAGTAAACAAGCGGCTAACAAGTTGATATCGACGAATTGATACAAAAAGTTCAACTCAATCCAGTAAATTGGGATATGCGCATCACAGTGAATTAGTCTTAAAAAAATCATAGCAACATTGCACCCTAAATTTAGCTGCAACTTTAATTTTATTTTGTTATTCATTGTGACCCTTGGCTGGAATATATTATTGATAAAAGTATTACCTTATCCAACCACAGTTGCTGGTATGACTAGTTTCGTTCCTTAGAACTTCGTCAGGTATGCAACCACATCATCAGTGTATTAAGTTAATACATTGTGGTATGTCAAAAGATTATTTAAAGCACTGTCAAAATCACAATAGTAAAAACGAGTCACGTTGATCAAACTATTAAAATTGAATAAAAAAACTACACTTCTAGGTGTATTGATAACAACTTGGAAATAGTTTAAGTAATACCTAAAGGCTTTAAGCTTGATCTTAAAGAAGAATTTACCCTCTACAAAGCTAAAAAACTTGACCCATTTAACATTTTAAATAATCAGACTTCTTTCCAGTCAAATATTATATTTGATACATATATTGACAAGCTACAAATCGAAGAAGTATTAAATAAGAAGAACAAAATAAACTGAAATACTAATACAGGTGGCACTGGAGAGATGAAGACACCTCATGATTCAGACAGTTTTATTTAGTCAGTGACAGTGATAAGACAGTGCTGGCCAGCATCAGTTTTATCACTTTTTATTCCATTTTAATATTTTGATCAACATGGCCAGTTTTTACTATTGTGATTTTGACAGTGGTTTAAAGAATCTCTTGACATACCACAGTGTATTAATACATTGATGATGTGGTTGCATACAATGACCTAACGAAGTTCTAAGGAACGAAAATAGTTGTGATACCAGCAACTGTGGATAAGGTAATCCTTTTATTATATCATTAATTTAATTGTATATTTTTTCATATAGCCTTTTTACAAGGTAAAAAAAATGAAAATTACGCAGAGTATTTATTTACCTCAAGGTGACATGTAGTCCCTCTACCGGGTGAATAGTAATACAATAGTACAAAAAAAAATAAAAAAAAAATAGTAAAATAGTATAGTAGTAGTAATAGTAATAGCTTTTGATAATTCGCCCGGATTTTGGTGAGCTTGTGCTCGACTTTTGATAGATAAATAACAGGTGTTACACAAGGCCCCAAAATAAAAACTTTTTCTAGTGGGCCTTGTGTCAATCCTGAAATATATATAAAAAAATGTTGTCGTCTGCAAGAAGTTACGGGAAAATGTCTCTTCTAACAGATACAGCTTTACACAGCGCTCTGATATAGAGAATACAAGATTTATACAATAGGTTAGCTCTTATAAATATCATTATTGCCTAGAGGTGTTTAAAATTTGGGACATTTTGCATCAATTTCCTTAATATATAAATCCTCACAAATGTCCTGTATTATTTAATACAAAAATAATACAGTAATCCTCATTCCTCAGCCGACATACTTTCCCATTCTCAAAAGTGCCAGCTCGGTTGCAATTTAGAATTCAGCATTATGTGAACACGTATCTCGAACATAGGTTTAAAAAAGCTCAACCTAACCATTATAGTTCACAAGGTTCTTTTTCATCGATGCAAATTTGAAGATTCCACAGCTTAAATTTTCCAAACAGTTGTTTTGATAGTCTCGTTCAAGGTACATTTTCCACCAACTTCAGTAACCGCGCTGAGTGCTACGCTAACCCACAGAATTCCCCATTTATTTTGTTCAATTCACATCCAATAACTATTTTTACCATGCATTGTAGATATCATTCATAATCAATAATCTAGAGACAATATGCATATTACAAGTGAATAATAAACCAGGCAATGTCTTACTAATCAGCTTCTTCAATCGAATCGTCCGTAGGCTGCTAGTGGTTTCCACTTTATCGGCTGGTGCCAAAGGGGTGTCAGTGACGGTAGTTGATGGTAACGTGGAAGTTGGAAGTCTTCGGTCTGGTTGTTGAAGTAGAGGTAATGTGTGTTGGGTCCTCTGTACCAGCAAAGGACACTTGTAGTCCAGATGACGCCGCAGTTTAGACTTCCTTGTGTACGTTTTCCCACAGTGACAGCAAGAGAGCTCTGGAGAAAAAGTAAAACCGATATTAATAACCGACTGTTGTGTATTGCATGTGTATTACTGTCAAGTTTAGTTAGAAATTTATTTTCAATAAGGTTGAACTATGACTGGCACCCGTCGTCCTGTAGACTACTACAGACTGTGACTAGGTCACGAATTGTGGATATTTATAGACATGCACTGTGGATGTGATACTCCCTGGTGTGGATTAACGTGAGTACTACACTAGTGAGTACTACGACTATCCGCAATGCTATCCTGATAATTAGACCAGTTCGCAAATACCGAAACAAAAATGTGGTTCGGATTGCACTATAAACTGTAGGTAGGTACCTTAGTTACTATTAGCTGTATGGGTTATTTATTAACAGCTGTGTCTAAGGAAAATGTCGGCCTCAAACAAGACTACAAGATCGCGCCACTCATCCTACACTCATCTCCAGTCATTTCATAGTATAAGTATATATTAAAGTATCTGTAAAACAAATTATCCTCTTATTGAAGATTACCTGTATACAAATAAATGTAGTGCAAAATAGGTTTCTAATGCGTCGCTTCATTGTTGTATCAACACTGAACTCATTAATCAATCAAAACCAGTATTTTCGAGTACAATCAGGAATATATGTTACACCTACTTGTTTCTTTGTGTTGTGTTATCGGCCTGACTTCTGTCGTATCATCTCTGCGCGTCACGTCAGCACTACTACCAGACTCCTCAGGATCTGTCAAAATTAAAATTACAACTAACCGTACATAGTTTGGTTTAAATAGCACACTTACAAACATTGTAACAAACATTGTATACAAACATTGAGTTGTAAAATTTATCCTCAGTAGGTCAGTACGCATTATTGCTTACAGAGTACATTGTGCTAATTTGACATCATGAATAAAATATACTAAAATACCACCGCCGCAGCAAACCTGCAGACTAAGCGAATTTCCAGCAGTCGTATTTATTTTAGGCCTATATTTAAACTAGCTGCTGTTACCGTGCTTCGCAACTGAAAGAGAATTCAGTTTAGAAGAACGGGTGTACCCTTAATATCATAACATATCTTGATAGTTGAAACTATCTCATAAATTTTGGTCTTCGAATGATTGCATTTAACTTAATCTTTAATTATATAACCATGCAGAGACTGGGTTGATACAGAATCAGTTATACTATAGGGGGGTTTTAAATTCCATAATCAATGCCATAGATTAAGAATAAAAATCTATGACAAAGTAGTACTTGCTGGTGTACCCGTGCTTCACAACGGGAAGATGTACTATACCGCCTATTCCACACCCCTTTTGAGTAGCTTGAATTTATAAACAAAAAGCCAATAAATTTATACAAAAAAAAATATAACCTACACTGTAATTGTCCTAATGCTTACATGAAAATATATTAATAACATTATTTTCATAGCTTAAACACTTTAATAAACCGAAAATAGAGCCTGGGTTGATACAGCAACGGGTTTTTCCATAATCAATGACTTTAGAATAAATAAACCTGCCACATAGTTGTGTAAAATATTATATTTAATGTCTTGGTATCAGCTGTCTGACATCAATCGTGAAATAAGCAATCTGGCAGTTCTGTTTCTTACATTGAAATATCAACGGAAAGATAAACATTGTGAATTTTCTCCTGCTTCCATGGAGACCAGGAGACCAATTATTATTTACTTTTGAAAACCTCACCTCAAAACTTTGGACATCCAACGGACGTAGCCCGAGAGGAACCCAGGGAAGTGAATAGGACTATGACATTCCTAGATATGTGGACCATATTTGTGCTTAATTTTGGATATTATCGGTTAAGTATTATTATCGTGAAAGCTGCCCAGACAGACAGACAGACACCATCTCAATTTTATGATAGTATAGATAAATAGGTTTGCTGCTAGAGGAATGGTAATAATTTTGTTGTTATTATGATTTACAACAAATCATCTAACCGGCTGCTTTATTAAAGCATGAAATCAAAAGAAAACAGAACCAATTTTTAAAAATAACTTATTCTCCCATATTAACCTTAAGGGGAAAATCTAACTTTGAGGGAAGCTCCTGTCCAAAACAATAAAAAAAAAATGAAAACCACTTTGCAAAACTACAGATCGAGGCTTTTAATTTTTGTGACACTTAAATCATTGAAACTAGTCGTCCAGTGGTCGAAAACTCGAACAAAAATATGTGTTACAGAGTTATCTATTTTCACCCCACGCTGTAAATAAAACATGTGATTGGGCTTTCTTCCATTTGATGAAATTTTGTTGTTGTTATTTCGTCACCAGCATGGAAACCCATAATACTCATGTTAATTTAAAAAATAAAGTCATTTTTGTGCTTGTTTTGAGCCTATTTAAATTTATAAAGGGATTCTGTACATCTACAGGAAAATATCTTTATGCGTAGATTTTCCCTGCGATGCACACAAACTTAGAGAAACGGTTTTCAATAAACATTCTTGCCTATTAATATATAGAATCAGTGTAAAATTGTAAAAATGAGGGAGGAGTTCTGTTCACAAAAATCGGCTTAGCGTTTTTTATACTACTGTAGATGGATAGATTTAATTAAATATGACATTTTGGTCCTGATTTAGTGCCACCCTTCTTTTATCTATGGTGCCACGTTAATATAAGTTAAGTTGTCCTTATCAGTGGTATGATAGTATGGTACGATCATACCACTGATAAATACCATTTACTGAGCGTTACACTATATCAAACCCAAAATGGCATATTAAATAAAATTATTAATATTAAAGAAAACCAACACCTCCAACTCCCTTGACATAATATATTCCCTGTTCTTAAAACAAGAAATTTCAGATGTATTTGTAAATAGTATAGTTTAATAGGTTTTAAAGACTTCACTGTGATTATGGCATGAATGGCCGAAACATGTGGAAGCGTTGAAAAAAAATCAGGGTACTTAATTTATATTTAAATACATATGAATTTGGAATGTTTTTTTTTTGTCTCTGGGAACCTCAAAACGAAAAAGCAAATCCGTCCCGGATCCAGGTCTTAGACCTATGGTAATAACTTATTCCCAATGGAAAATTTGCTAAAAAAAATTTTTTCTAAAAATTACTCCAATCACTAAGTGGGCGGGGGGGGGGGACGTCAGTCAATTTGTCTTATCTGATGATCTATCACCCCCACCCCCACACCTCAACCCATCCCCCCACCACCCCATTCCACACCACCCCTTCCCACCACCACCCAATCCCCCCCATCCCCCCACCCCATCCTTCCCTCACCCCAAATCCACCCCCACCCCACCACCACATCAACCCCTAGATAATGAATTACCTTACTCCTCTAATCGATATCTGTCGGGCGGCTCCTTTGACCTTTGAGTACAAGGAAATACACTCAACGGATCGATATTGACAAAAGTGAGCTCTAGATAATAATCTACACGTTTGTTCCTTGACGTGACAAACAAATCGGATCATTCACGCAACTATGTGGTGACGTCGCCTTGTCATGGATATGGTAGTTGTCGAATTATCCACAGCCCAGCACCAGTGACAGTTACCGCAATAAAATCTACAATAATTCAATCAGATTATATCTGAGAGTACGTTGAGAACAGTTGTTGTTAGTGCATTGTGTTTATTATATTATTACACCCACTGCCCCCGGACAACCCCTCCCCCCCCCAAGACCCCTAAGCAGGTTCCTACGTCTATTGGCGTCAGAGATCGGGGGGCAGTTTTCCAGTCACGGGCACTCAAGTTTCGTTGTCAAACAGTTCTAAACTAACCTAACCTAACCAACCAAACTTGCTGTAATATTTCAATATTCTGTTTGATACTCCCCACATGTTATCAAACGGAATATATCGAATTAAAATTACAATTAAATTACATAGCATCAGATTCCAGTCGTGGACATGGTGGCTCCCATATTGGTTAGTTGGCAGATTTCGTGACGTCACGTTTCACCTGGGAGAGTTTTCCGGGGGGTATTATTCCGCTTCCCCCTCCCACTATTCCCCCTTATTCCTTCCCTTTTTTCGTTGATGTGAAATAAAAAAAAACAATATTAAATGATACAAATTTTTAATTCAATTTACAATCATATAACAAACAAACCTTCCAGTAATCCGACGATTAGTTCTGTCGTCGGGACATTATCGACGCTGTCGTCCTCGTCGCTATTATTCTCTGGATCCCCTGGCGACTGTGGCGGTGACTGCGGCGGTGACTGTGACGGTGACTGCGACGGTGACGGGTGCGAAGCTCGACACGATCCGTGCGTCTCCGCGTTGTGCCGCACGAGAGCGTCCCGACGGGAAAACGCAACGGCGCACCAGTTGCACGCGTATCGCACCGTCCGCAGGTGGACCGTGCGCAAATGGCGCGCGACGTGATCCCGCCGCGAGAACTCTCGATGACACACGGGACACACGGGCGGCGGCGGCGGCGCACCTCCGAGGGAATGTTTATCCATCTGCGACAACGAAGAAAACGTCATGTGCACGTGTAAATTCAGAAATATCAAAAAAATTAACAATAAATTATAATAAAATAAATAAAAATTTCCATTTAAAAGATACTTATACTTATTACATAAATTAAGTAATAATTGAATAAAATGAATTTACACAATTGAAAAAAAATATTACAACCAAAGAGTAATTGAAGATCAATTTAAATGATTTCAATGCAGTGTTAAGTCGCCACTCAGTTTTACTAGAGTATTGGGTCAGATAGACTACGAACTAACGTTTGCATGATATATGTTAGAAGTAATAGAATGATTTATTAAAAATAAAATATTGTTTTACATTTATGGTAAAATGTAAAAATTATTCCTATAATAATCAAATACAAAAAATATAGGAAATTAAAATTATTGTATTTAACCCAATTTTTAATAAATTAAATAATTTTACATTTAAATCAAAATTACTTGACAATATTACGTAATATTTTTAAAAACTAAACTCTGTGAAACTATATCTGCTAAAGGTTCAACAATTCCTAAAAGTCATGATAATACTTAACATTCACTTAACATATATTAATATTATTTCTAATACTTACGATTTTAATCACAATAATCCAATTTGCACAAACACTGATGGAATAGTTGTAGCTGCTGATAAAACTTACAACCTAATACTACGAACGCCAACCCCTAACTGAGGATCGGCTGCAAGGGAGGGTGTGACGGTCGTGACGCACAAAGACGCAGGGTCTGGCAGTGATTTGAAATCAAAGGATACCTAGAAGCTTTTAGAAAACCGATAATGGAGCTTTCAATCAAACAATAGAACGTTGAAAGCTTTTGGCGGTAGTGGGTGGGGGGGAGGTGGGGGAGGGATAAGGTGGGGGTGGGGGTGGTGATCGATGGGGTAGGTGGTGGGGGGAGGAGGGAGTGGGTTGGTGGCACGACGTGCTGCCACCCCTTGCAGCCTTGCGGTCTTTTTCAATACAAACAACTGCTTTACAACTAAATCGTTATTTTTCAGCTATGAGTGCAGGGCCAAGTGCCATTGCCTAAAAACTTTGACGAGGTAATTTTACAGCCTGAGGCTCAGTGGTGCGAGTGCCAGCCAGGTATCAATAACCGGTTCCACGGTACGGCGGGTATGGTGGTAGGGGTGAAAAGATTGACCCGCGGGGGGGGGCAGGATAAGCAAACCCTGTTTTATTGTATAAAATTAAATGTTATAACGTAACCTAACCTGACCAAACTTGATGTTTATGAACAAATTGAATTAAGGTTTACTAATCGAATCGATGAAGGTAACCAAGTTAAGTAACTCTATCCGGTCTCCGTTACATTCTGCCCACTACACCCTCTTCAAATAATACCCCTACCCAGAAAGAATCAAACTGCACTCAGGCCTACCTGACGGTTTTGACAGTTTGTGACCACCACGGCAGAGAATAGGACGGCACTCGCTCCGCTTCTCGCTATTTACTATTTGATCTTTTTGAGCTTGATATCGTTTGGTAGAAAACTTTAAATGCTAAATAAAAGTGTCCTTAGCATTTTGTCATATTATATATTATATCATATTTTTTTAAGCTATGAAATAGTTGCTACCATTTCGAAACCAAAAAATGTTTCGTAGGCTAATAAATATTTTTGTAAACACTTGACTTGCTAAAAGTGTATACCAAGGTTCATAAAGATAAATAAGTGTTGTGAAGTAAATTAAAAACTTAAAAACATGATGGTAAATATTTTGTATTAAAAATGCTATTTTTTCGTTTTTTTTACCTAATAAACCTATTCCTGAATTCTTTGTACTTAAGAAGCAGTAAGGAACAAAATACAAAACAATTGACAATCTTGGGAAACGCTATTACACAAAAGCAACTACTGCTTTGTGCTCTTACACTATATTCCCTAAGGGGAATTTATTTAATAGTAGTACAGAACAAAGGAGTGGAGTAGACATGTCTGCACATCCTGTGGTGGTTGTTATACAATTTTGTTTCCTTAAAATAGTTTAAAGTTGAAGATGTCCTTAAAAAACCTACTTTCTCTTGATAAATTTAATTATTTTGTTTATGATTCTACCCTTTTACTTTCCTCAGGGTTTCTACCATGGCGGGTAGGAATGAGAGTAGGTATATTTGATGGTTAAATAATTAAGCTTATTTTTTCATAATACACATTACAGCTGTACTTATTATATCTTAAAAACAACAACATTTTAATTTTTACGCCAAATAAGGTTGTTTGATGAAACAGAACATCCAACTTCAAGAGCCAAGAGGTCTAACACCTGGTGTATCGTCATTAACCAATTACGGGAAGACTTAATACAACTATTGATTGGTTAAGCGGATATAAACATAACAGAATACAGTAATAGAAACAAATAAGTACAGCTGAGGTATTTTTAACATTAGGTATATGAAAAGTACCATTTAGAAAGGAATTAACGACCTTAAAGGGCATTTTATGAAATAATGGATAGTTTTGCGAAAGGTTTCTCGTTATTACGAACATTTTGTTTATGGTTTTGTATATTAACATGTATATGGTTTATGGGGTATGACTTGTAGTTTTCTCAAAGGTTCATGGGTACTTTGGGATTTATATTTGGATTTATATACTACATAGATTAGAGAACATATTTGAATGCCATGTTAAAACCAGTACTATTTAGGTTACTTGGTTTTCCATCACGTAAGATTATTATTGATTTATTCATTAACATGTAAATGTAATAGATAAGTTATTTTCACCACACTATGATGTTTTTAGCTGTTTTACATACGTTAATTGGTGGCTGAAAGTTAAGTTTTGCTGGCCATTATGCTTTATGGTTACTGTAGGAAAAATATAATGTGTAACACGAGTGCAAAGTACCTTTGCTGCACTCGCACATCGTCTCGAACTTAAAAACGATCGAGAGCTGCAAAACCATTTCGGTCCGTGGTACGAACGCTACTTCTAACCACACTATACCCTGTTACCCCATTCACCACAATAATTAATGCACACTGATAGTCAACACACTCAACACAACTAGAACTTTAAGGTATGTGAAGAAATAATTTGAGGAATCAGCAAAAATAATAATAAATAGTTGCTAAGCAGCGGTAAGAAAAAAAAATCTATTGCAATGTCATGGATACTGATTGTGTATTTATTTAATATGCGTTCGTGTTTAAGAAAGTAAGCGGACAGCTGATTTTGCGGCCCTAGGGATGTAAAATCCTGCTCGGTCCGGTCCCCAAATAACTATGACAGTTGGCATGGCCAGAAAAACTTAACTTTCAGCCACAAATGAATGTATGTAAAATAGCTAAAAACATCATAGTATGGTGAAATTATATATTACGTTACTAGTCCTGAAAATAAGTGTTTATCGGACGAGTGTGGTCGTTCCCGTGCGAGACGAAGTCGAGTACGGGATTACCATACGAGTCCGGTACACACATTTTGGACGAGTTACGTACGATAGTTTACGCCATACTAATAAATCTGTACAAATCCTTATATATTTCCACCAACTAAAGGACTAAAAATCACTAGTCATAATTTCTAAGACAGGTTATGTTTTTGTTTATGACCATTCATTGCCACCTAAATACAGTATAATCAGCTGATTGGTGTCCGGTAAAACTCATTACAGAACAGTAGTACGCAATGAAACCCCATTTGAATAAGCCGGCGGCAAACAGCTGTTTTATGGACTAAATCCTTGCGTGGGAAGTTCGTCAAAATAATGTAGTGTAGTGTAAAAGGTATTATGTCTTCTCACCCAGTAATGTGTTATCGACATGTTTAGATTAATCGAGTGAAAAGAGTTTCATAGCCTTTTTGGTACTTTCCTGTTAAAGGGAACATTCATTATTATTGATGGTTTTTTTATCGATATATCGATATTAACAAATCGAAACATATCAGCTGACAACTACGATAAATATTGTTCAGTATCAACAAACAATAATAAAATGAAACTGTTCTAAAAAAATAACCTAACATAACTAACCAAACTTGCTGTAACATTTAAAAATTCCGTGTTTAACTTGCCTTTTCTGTTATCAAACGGTTACCTTAGAACAGTTTCATTTCTTAATCCATATAATAGACTGTTTTAGCCTAAACAAGGTCAGTTAGTTAGTTGTTGTCAATTTGTAAAGGATCGGAAAACAAAAATATCGATATATCGAAATAATCATCGATAATAATGAATGTTCCCTTTAACAGGAAAGTACCGTATTGGTCTTGTAACGTTAATTTAAACATGCTAAACATACAACATACACAACATATATTAAAGAAAATGAATGGTTAGTAGAGGAGTTTAAAAAGACTTGGAGCACAGTCTTACTTGTAAAGTCTTCCCAGTGGTATGTGCAGGCAGGTGCCGAATGCAGTTTCCCCTTCTTCAAGTGGTAGAACAGAAATGGTAACAGGGTCGGTTGGAGGTGATGACGGTGGCGTTGGTGGTGGTGGTGATTGAAATCTTGGAGGTTGTGTTTGTGGTGATGGTTGTTGTTGTGGTAGCGTTATTTGTGGTTGTGTAGGTGGTTTTGTTAGAGATTGTGGATGTTGTGTTTGTGGTGATGGTTGTTGTGGTGGTGTTTTTGGTTGATGTTGAGGTTCTGTTTGTGTAGATTTTTGTTGTTGTGGAGGTGGTTGTTGTTGCAACGCTGGATACCGTGCACTGTGGCGCAGGATGGGGCAGTGGCAGATCAGGTGTCGGCGAAGTTTACTTTTGCGTGTAAACGTCTTGTCACACAGGATGCAGGAGAATCCTGGAATATTATAAACGATGGCATAAATATTGAAAAACAATAAGTTTTTTCACAAAAAGTTTATTTCACATATATTCACATCAACATTCTCATTCTACAATTGGTTTACATACTTGGTACTTGACTTATCTGTAAAGCGTAATGTATCCAAAAATAAAATAACTAATTTAAAATGAACCAGATAATTTATTTTCAGTCGTTAACAGTTTCGAAATTAAAACTGCCTGGATAAATGTTTATAGCTATTTTTTTACAATGATTTGGAATATAAAAGTACTGAATACAGTAAAAGTAGGTAGGACATATTCATAATGTGTCCGGTATGGAAGTGCCTGAAGCGCCGATGGAGTACTAAAGAAGTTTAACAGAGCTGTATTTCTTTAAAATAAGTAATTACAGGCAAACACACATGGAATACTCCAATCATTTTGGCAGATATTGCTCAAAATACCACCACCACCACTACTACTACTAGTACCAAAATGTAGATTTAAAGACAATATCAAATTTGATTTAACTTTTAATAAAAATAATAAAGCCAGCTCTAGAACATACCCTCACTACTACCATGGATAAAAATTAAAAATTAAAATTTTCAAGTTTGAAAGCATACTCAATTAAAAATAATTATAAATACCCCCACCGCAGCAAACCTGCATACTAAGCGAATTTCCATTTATCTGAGTTGATTTTTAATTAAATCTATTTAAATAACATAAGATTGAGTACATAGGTTTGCTATTACAAGGATACTAATGAAATGTATTTTTAGTAAAATATTCATAGCTTAGTATAAAATAAATAAATTTGCCAAGTTTGATCAAAATATATCCATAAACAAGCAAACAACAACTTTTTACAATATTCTCCATAAGAATAACATGGGAATTTTAAATATATAATTTTTTGAATTTTCTCCGTTACCGATAACCGTACAAAAACACTTTAATATACTAAATTATTTGTTTTTAGCTATTTAAAAAGGTCTAGAGAGAAATTGGGAAATTTGGTATTTTGAGGGTCAAAAATGAGAAAAACAATTTTTTACCCCATAATACCCCCCCCCCCTAAAAGCCCCGTTCCCATGGTCCGATCATGCTGGTTCACGAACTCATTCATGTTTATTCCGCGTTACACCTTTAAACCAAATTTCATCAAAATCGGACAAAAATTACTCAAGTTATCGCGTTCACGGACGTATATATTTATATACGCATATATAAAAATTCAAACGAATGGTGTTTTTAGCCTCTGGGGACATCAAAATGAAAAAGTAAATCGGGCCCGGGCCGAGGTCTTACTGTGCCACCTACGGTTATACCTACTTCCCTATAGGGAAATTCGCTAAGAAAAACTTTATTTGATAAAGCATATACTACACTTCTACGATGTTTAAACAAATTTAATATGAAATCTATCAACTATAAATACGCTTTATACGGTTGAGGAGATAAGATGCTGTAAAGGGGTTAAATGCACGAAATCTTTATGAAGATGCGTATTTTTATTTAATTTTTTTATAGCCTAAATAGATATTTGCTTGGAAAAAGAGTTTATGACACATATTCGATTTTTTTATGGTAAATATTTGTACTATTGCTACTAAATATTGGTAAATATTCGTTACTATTTGTACTTACTGCATGGATCACGTGATGTCATATGGCGTGTAAGGTTGGAGCGTTGGGTGTACGTTTTGTCGCAGCTTGAACATTCGAATCGCTGCGACGCATCCGTCTGCGGTTGGACGTCAGCGGAACCCGGTGCTGGGGGTTGTGGCGGTGAAGCTTCAGGCCGTGATGGACCGGGCACAGCTTCACCACCAGCATCCACCCTCGGGCGTTCTGAAAACAGTTCATTACCCGAATTTATTAAAAAATGAAAACTGTAAAACAATAGTTCTACACACTCATATTTGATAGAAGGGGGGTTATATTCGTATTGTGGCCGGCATGTTGGAATGTAAAAAAAGCGAGATAGAAATAAATAGTTTGAAGAATTTATATTTTTACTATGTGCTTATAAAAAGTCCTTTAAATTCCAAACAAAATGGTACGACTCCCATGTCTGTAAAAATTACGGTTCAGAAACTATTGTAAATTATGTTATTTTCCCATAAAACCCCATAAAATAAATTAAAAGAATTTTTGAAAAAAACAGGTTTTGTTTTAACTTAGTATGTTATGGCCCTTACAATTTTGAAAGTTATTTTCATTTTTTTGATATTTTGATTTTTAATGGGGATTTCCTATACCCCATAAACCCCACAAAATAAAGAAAAAATCAGATTTTTTAGAAAATGGCACACACTATTTTCTAAAAAGGAATAGTATGTTATATTCCTTTAAATTCTGAACAAAATGGTACAAATCCCATTTCCGTAAAAATTACGGTTCAAAAGTTATTGTAACTTATGGTATTTTCTCATAAAATAACAAAAAAATCGGATTTTTGGAGACAAGCTGGCTTTGATCATCATGAATCCTTATAATTCTACAAAAAAACTACAACACCCCATTGCTGTAACAATTACGGTTTAAAAGTTATTGCAGCTTTTGTATTTTTAACTACTCTCGTTCTTACCCATGATAAAGGTTGTTGACAAGCTTATGGGAGAAAGTATGTGTTAGAACTCTGATACCGTTTATTTAAAATTATATTCACCATGTTTTACTTATGTTAAATCGTCATCCAGTTGTTAAAAACTACATGATTAAATATTTGAGATCTCCAGAATCGTAGGTGAAAGCAAAAAGCCTTTCAGTTTGTCACTATCCTACGAACCATCTACAAAAGTGTCTACCTCGCAACGGAGATCAGTGCTAGAGACATGTTTAAGCGAACAACATTGTTTAGCTATGGTAGTGTTATATGCGTAAAGTTCGTGTTGACCGTAAATATAAATACTTAAACATAAACACTTCTTTTTAAATAAAAAAGTGACAGCACTTACTTGAATGTAGTACAATGTGACGTTGTAGATTGTTTTTGCATTTAAATGTTTTCCCACATTCGTTACATTCAAACGGGCCTTCATCGCCATGCAAATTTCGCAGGTGTCGAGTCAGGTTGTGTTTAAATGCAAAACTAGCTCCACATAGATTACATTGAAACATCTAAAACATTAAATTTTAGATGAGCATACCAGTTCAATATTAGGTGTGTAGTGTATCTTATGGGACTTATTGTCGTAAAAATCTAAAGCCTTGAAGTACCTATTAAACTACTAATGTAATCTTGGCAAACCTTAAAAATATATAAATATAAAAAATATACAATCCAAGCACTATTGGCCAAATACAGGAGAAATTTATAAATAAATGTATTTGTTCAATTTTGGAATAAAGTGTAAGTTGTTAACATGGTTTTTATTTAAAATCTGTTTTATGTTATGTTATTTTGTTATTGTTATTTTCATATTTGCTTTATGATAAATAGTATGTGTGACTTAAGCACTAACATCCATCATGTAACGTAAGACTTTTCAAGATAATAGGGTTATAAATTTAGAAATTGTTATTTGCATAAACCGTAGAGTGAACCAATATTCATTGTTGTTTGTTTATCGCTTCATGAAATTAAATAAAAAATACCTCTTTGGACTTTATCAGCAAGATTCGGTTCTAAAATAAATTAACTTTTTAAATACTTTGCAGGTTATAAAAACAGTATTTTATATTATTTAAATAACAAAAATATCAACAATAATAACATTTATGTTACGAACAAATGACTTCATCTATATCCAGACAAGTGTACTTACTAAACATTGGACAGGTATTTAGTTCTAAACATTTATCATATTAAAATGTATATAAAAAATATATTTCCCAATTTTAAAAATCTAAACTATTTAAAGTTAAATAAAAATATGTACAATAAAGTTGCATACAAGGTTAACAGTTCTTACCTTTAGTTTAGTGAAGTGAAGAGTTTGATGAAATTCGCGCTAGAACTAAATACAGTATAAAGTCCAACTAGGAAGTGATGACTCTTGACTTGATCTTAGCTTATAAAGTCTCGTATTGGTTGGGGTAGAAGGGGGGGGGATAAGAGGGGCGAAGCCCTTAGCTTAGACCTAGAGTTTGAAACCACGCGTAGAAAATTAAACATTTTAACGAAGAACTTCGAGAATCCTCTCCTGGGTAGTTTGAACAACCATAGTCACACAATTCTATTTCTGCGTAGCCATAGTCGTCAAACAGTAGAAGGTTCTGTTCTTCGTGACGTTCCAATCCAGAGAGCTGAAACCCTACTGGACTTAGGCTGTTTTATGACTTAGTCCTCTTCAGCCAAACAGTAGAAGGTTCTTCACCCATTCACAAGTCCTATATCTCTATCCTTAACGCTAAACCCCGAGGTATAGACATCTCTAAACTTGTAACACTTAGGGAAAGACAAATGCAACCTGCTAACTCGAAAAATGATTTAACAACCACACCAAAAAGCTCATGGTAGTACCAAACTTATACTAGCGGGTGACCTGAAAAACGGATGGCTACAACCAAAGGGTAGTTTATTAAGGCAGGGGGTGAAATTGCGAGTGTTTGAATAACTTAGGATGTATTTCTGTAGCTTAGTTCAACACAATTATATGATGTGTTTATGTCTCATGATATTCCCAGGATAGCAAGGCAGATTTGGAGATTCCAGAATTATGTCTACGGAGCTTCCACTAATTACGTCCAGTGCAAATATGTCACCTACCTGATTTGGATTTTCTAAACCCATACTTAGCAGGTCGACGCCCCCTCGAGTTTCACCTTTAAACTATACATGCATTATAGATTTACACTCGTCAACATATAATAGAAGTAGGACAAATCTGGTATTACAATTCTATTATTCCGCAGTTTAAATAAATATAATATTCGAGAAATAATCATATTTATGATTTTTGATTGAGTAATACAGTATCTCGAGCTCAACTGATTCAAATTATCAATAGCTCAAATAATATTAAAAAAATCATTTAAAAAACATTACCAATACTGGAGCTATTGATTTTTAATCATAGTAAACCCTTATGAAAAATAATTTTTATGTTCGTTGTTCACCTTGCGTTTTCTTGAAACTCATTCTATTTGAATAACTAATAGCTCAAATGAAAGCCGGTATTTCACTGAAGGTTCTTAGAACAAAATATATAGGATTATTATAACTGGTGAAATACATCTTAAATTGAAGTAAAAATTCGAAAATGAATCAAATTATGTTTTTTTAAGTGGACTTTTGTTTCATTAGTTCCTAGTTAAGTTGTTTTATTTTTACAAACACCTAACCTGACCCCTTTTCCAACATTCTTTTTCAGTTATAAGTGTTGTAAAATTTGCAGAACAGCTCAAATCAGTGTTTTGAGAAATTGGATGGTTCATTGTTTTGTAATGTCGCTCACAAGCATCACCATTGATATTTCTAAATTCACATTCAAGAAGCACGTCAAGAAGTACGTTTACTCTCCTTAGCAAACAGCAAACATGCTTAGTAGAACGAAAAGAAAACTTGAGTGAAATCTTACTTGTAAAGTCCTCCGTGCAGTATGTGCCCAGGAAGGTGCTGAATGCAGTCTCCTCTTCTTCGAGCGGTAGGTCAAAGGTGGAGACATAGTCTGTCGGAGGTGGTGACAATGAGGCGACCGATGATCCCTCCTGCGGCTGTGGCGTTGGTGGTCGAGGTTGTGGTGGTGGTTGTAATGGCAGTAGTGTTTGAGGTTGAGGTTGTGTTGGTGGTAGTGTCTGAGATTGTGTTGGTAGTAGTGGTTGATGTCGTGGTTGAGGTTGTGTTTGTGGTGGTGGTTGTGTTGGCGGTAGTGGTTGATTTTGTGTTTGTGGTGTCTGTTGTTGTTGCTGTGGTGTTTGTGGTTGCATTTGTGGTTGAGGTTCAGGTTGAGTTGGTGGTGTAGGTTCTGTTTGTGTTGATTTTTGTTGTTGTGTTTGTGGTGGTTTTTGTTGTTGTGGTGTTAGTGGTTGCATTTGTGGTTGAGGCTGAGGTTGAGGTTGTGGTGTAGGCTCTGTTTGTGTTGATTTTTGTTGTTGTGTTTGTGGCGGTTGTTGTTGTTGTAGTGTTAGTGGTTGCATTTGTGGTTGAGGCTGAGGTTGAGGTGGTGTAAGCTCTGTTTGTGTTGATTTTTGTTGCTGTGGAGGTGGTTGTGGTGGTAGCAGTGTTGGCGGTAGTGAACCACTACCTATAGTTTCTGGTTGAGGTTGTGGTGTAGGTTGTGTTTGTGTTGATTGTTGTTGTTGTGGAGGTGGTTGTGGTTGTTGCAACGCTGGATACCGCGCACTGTGGAGCATGATGGGGCAGTTGTAGAGCAGGTGTCGGCGAAGTTTACTTTTGCGTGTAAACATCTTGTCACAAAGAACGCAGGAGAATCCTGGAATATTATACAAAACATTATACAACGATAACGTTTATTTCACCAGAAGTTTAATTCACAAAACATATTCACCTAAACATTCTCATTGTACAGTTGGTTTATGTACTTGGTTAAAAGTACTTGACTTATCGTCGCTATATTAAACAAATCTTATAGTGTAATGTACTTAAAAATAATAAAAAAAAACTAATAATGGATTAGGCAGAGAATTAGTTTTTAGTCGTTACGGTTTCAAAATTCAAACTGTCTGGATAAATTTCATAGCTATTTTTTGTGCAATGATTTGGAATATAAAAGTTCTTGAATAAGTAGAGAGGACTTATGCATCATGTGGCCGGCATGGAAGTGCCCGAAGCGCCGATGAAGTACCTCTTCTAAGCAGCTTAACACTAACAGTGTCGTATTTCTTTGAATGAGTAATTACAGGTAGAAACACAAAAACAGGGAAGGCTCCAATCATTTTGACAGAGATTGCACTACCACTATTATAACCAAAATAAAAATGGAAAGACAATCAATTTAAACTAACTTATTAACTATTGGTTAATTAGTTGGTTAAATTAACTATTGGTTAATAAAACCATGTAGCTCTAGAACATATCCTCACTACTACCATGATTAAAATGTAAATTTTCATGTTTGAAAGCACAAAAAAAAATACGAAACTATAAATCTCCGTAACGTAGAAATCTACACTCCCACAATATTTAAACAAATTCCATATAAAATCTTTCAACTTAAAACGCGCTTGTGGTTGAAGGTGTTGAGATGTGGTAAAAGCACTAGAGACATGAAATCTTTATGAAACATGGGTATATTTAGCAAATTTCCCATATAGGGAATAAGCTATTACCGTAGGCTTCAAGGTAAGACCTGGACCCGGGACCGATTTACTTTTTCATTCTGATGTCCCAGATCAAAAACACCATCCGTTAAAATTAATATATTTCTCATTTTTGACTCAAAAACATAAAATTGTCCAATTTCTCTCTGAGCTATTTTGAAGAGCTTGAAAAACAAATGATTTAGTACATAAAGTTTTTTACGGTTATTGGTTACGGAGAAAATGAAAAAATTGTAAATCTAAAATTTCCTTGTTAACTTATGGTTAATAAGTAAACTTTTGTAGTTTGCTTGTTTATGGATATGTTTAGATCAAACATAACATATTTGTTTATTTCATACTAAAGGTATTAATATTTTACTAATATATAAGTTACCATTTCCCTGTAGCAGCAAACCTAGGTGCTCATTAAACCTAATGCTATTGAAATAGATTTAATTGAAAATCAAACCAGGTAAATGGAAATTCGCTTAGTCTGCTGGTTTGTTGTGGCGGGGGTATTATTTAATTAATATTTGTTCATAAATAGATATTTGCTTGGAGAAAAGAGTCTATGAAAGGTATTTCATTTTTTATAGCGAATCTTTGTACTATAGTAATATATATTTTTCCACACCATTTAAAAAAAATGATACTTACTACACGGTTCTCGTGATTTCATATGGCGTGTAAGGGTGGAGCGTTGGGTGTACGTTTTGTCGCAGCTTGAGCATTCGAATCGCTGCAACGCATCCGTCTGGGGTTGAGCGTCAGCTGAACCCGATGCCGGGGGTTGTGGCGGTGAAGTTTCAGACCGTGATGGACCGGGCACAGCTTCACCACCAGCATCCAACCTCTGGCGTTCTGGAAACAGGATATTACCCAAATATATATACATATATAAATTGTAAAACAATAGTTCTACATACTCATATTTGATACTAGTATGGGGGTTATATTCGCATTGTTGCCGACACGTTCTGAAAACAGGATATTACCCAAATATATATTTAATATACATAAATTGTTTTTTTATTATATTCATAAAATATTACTTATGTTAACATATCGTCATCCAGTTGTAATATTTCCACATGTTAAAATATCTGAGGTCTCCAGAATCCTAGGTGAAAACAAAAAGCCTTTCAGTTTGTTACTAGCCTACGAACCGTCTACAACAGCGTCTAGATGGAGATCGGTGCTTGAGATATGATTAAGCTACCGGTATGCATAAAGTTCGTGTTGACAGTAAACGTAAAGACTGGCGAGGTTTGCTTTTACTGTAGCGTGTTACAGAGAGGGTGCATCCGACTTGAGCGAGAAAAGTGTTTTTACGGGAGGCATTCTTTGGTGATAGTTGTAACGGTGAAAAAACAAAATTAGTATAGGCTAACATTTTTTTCAAACATAGTGAATCGGGCTATGCAGTTGAGACATACAAGCATAGATTTAAAAGAAGTAGACACTCCTTTTATCTATGATACAAGGATATTTACAACTATCTTAAAGCCCCGATACAACTCCCAATTTTAAAGGGGATAGCCCAACTCCGCGCGGTTGTCAAATTTAAGCCGAGGAAAAGTTTTATGGCCCCCGAAGGGTCCAGTCCAACTCCGCGCGGTGGTCACTTTTAGTGAACAGTCTAACTCCGCGCGGTGGCCACATCTAATCTCTACGCTACCTTGTTGTGCTTTCGTATGAGATATGATGTGTTTAATAAAAAATATTCTATATATAATGTTACACTTTTATTTGTTCATAACTATTTTATTCATGTGACAGGTTAGGTTTGGTTAAGTTAGGTTAGGTTAGGTTAATGATGGGTAAATTCTAATGAAACATAAGTATTCTGTTTTGTACTAATTAACTTTATTTTATTAGTTACGGTGGTTTCGTACAGTTCTAAATTATGTACATGTAAAACAATTTCAATCTTAAAATACAAACTCACAGCCGTCAGGGCTGTGAGAGCCAAAATTGACCACCACGCGGAGTTGGACATGAGTGCCACGAGGGACCAGAGGTGATCACTGTACGGAGTTGGACAGTCGGTTTTGACATATTTCTGACCACCACGCGGAGTTTGGATAAGCCTATTTAAAAGCCTGATACGGTGAAGTTTCAGGCAATGATGGGCCGGGTACTGCTTCGTCATACACATCCAACCTTCAAGCGTTCTGGAAAATGTTATGTTACTTGAATTCATATTTAAATAAATAAAAAACATGCCAACTAACACACAAGTATTTATTATAGACAAGGCTATTTATTTTGTTTATAACACTAGTTTTTTGCATTTTTATGCAGTATGTCGTCAATCTATTTTCTATTTATATTTAAAATCAACGTAATAAATAGCTCTAATGTCTACCCAAAGGGGAGCGAGCTGGCGTAGTGGTTAGAGCGCGGGACTTCAGTCCCTGAGGTGCCGAGTTCAATCCCCGCCAAGTCACCAATGGATTTTATCTAAGTGATAATGCCGCAACCCCTAGATCTAGCCTGAAGTAATGTGAAAAACAATCCCAGGCTCGTGCCTAGCGTCCTTGGACAAAATGTCTACCTAAAACTTACTAGAATGAGTTAACATGTGTCTTTGCAGGTTAAACTTGGTCAAGTAGCTTTTCCCACACTCGTCACAGTCAAACGATTCGTTATTGTCCCCGTGCTTGAGTTTATAATGCCTCAACATGTTTCTTCGGTCTGCGAAGGAACGCTCACACACAGAACAGATTGAAGCCATCTGAAACATAAGTAACAATGTAGTTATAAAACAGGAACAGCAATGGTTTAACTTTAATACTTTAAATAAATTTAAGTAGTAATATTGTGAGAAAAATAACTGCACCATTTACAACAAAACATTAGCCAACCTCTTGATAAAATAATTGTGTAAAAAAATATGTGCATGAAATTAAGCTTTAAAAAAATGTTAGCATTTATATGACATGTTCTTCAATACACAGACGTATTTCAGGTATTACAGGTATTTCTACCTTATTTTCTCGCTTCTTAGTATTTTGTAACTTTAAATGTGCTAGATATCAGACCTTATCAACCTTGTTAAAGCAGCAATTCGCCTTTTTGTTACCCCTGAGAACTTAATGGTCAGAAATATATCTAAATATAGGGTGTCCACAAAAGAACTGAAACATTTTAAAGGCAAATACTAATACAAAATAAGAGACTATGTTCAATGTTTTGTGTATGTATTTAAAGCTAAAATTCTCACGTTTTATTAAAAACTTAGTATAACTAGATATGAGCACCATTAGTGACCCGGCATAAAGCTAAGCGAAATTTGACCTCTTCCCAGGTATTGGTCAGTAGGCCTACTTCAGGAGATGTTGCACCAACATATGCGAATATTCTCTGACGGAAGTGATTCAGATCCCAAATCTGCACCGAGTAGACGTCATTCTTTACTGCCCCCAAACGAAAAAGTCCAGAGGAGGTATATCTGGACTCCTAGGAGGTTATTGAATGGGCCCTCCCTTCCCTGCCAATCCACCGATTGTCAAAACGAGTATCCAGCGCTTCTCGTACACGCAAACTGTAGTGTGGTGGCACTCCATGCTGTTGAAAATAGACAGGACCAATCTCCATCTCAACGTCATCAAACAGTGGGAAAACGTACTGTTCTAACATGTCACATTAAATAGCATGTATATCCCCTGAAGTACTGACCAATACCTGGGAAGAGGTCAAATTTCGCTTAGCTGTATGCCGGGCCACTAATGGTGCTCATATCGAGTTATACTAAGTTTCTAATAAAACTTGAGAATTTAAGCTTTAAATACATACATAAAACATTAAACATAGTCTCTTATTTGGTATCAGTATTTACCTTTAAAATGTTTCAGTTCTTTTGTGGACACGCGGTAGTATTTTAAAACATAATCACTAACTTGTTAAGTGTTGATTTCAATTGACATGTATGTACAATATCTATTGAGGGTAATTCATAGAACTCGCCTTATCAAATACTGCTGGGGAATTGTAGAGAGTTGTGGTGATGGCGTTGAAGCAAGAACAACAGCGAGCAATCAAGCAGTGTGCTATAGGTGGTCTAGGAGTAGCGTTTATAGCGGGTGAAAGATGACGTCACAAGATGTTACACATCATACTCTTCAGACTCTTCTCATTGTTAAAAACAAGTATAAATTTAAAACATATCCACTCTGACGTCCATTTTAACGTTAATAATACCGCGTATATTAGCAGAATATTAGTCTCTAGGGGTTATTTTAGTCATATCAGCAAACAATTTGTGGTTATATTACAACCATGGGCTCATTCGTTTTTGATTTTCTCCCCATGTTGTGTATATGGACCAAAATCGAACTTCGAGGGCTTCTTAAGGGTCTCTGCTTCCACACACTGACTTGAGATCTTCAAGGCATATATTAATTGATGAAACTTCTAGTGCTTTAAAATAACACATAAAAAATCAAAATCGATCTAGCAATTTAGCTATAATCTCTGTAACAAAATCGCCTTTTCCTTTTGATATTTACGTTTCGATTTTTTATACTTTTCGATTGACAAAATTTTTAATGCGTATTATATTAACTGCTACGAGTTCATTAGTTTAACACACCTTTGCTTGCTTAGAGAATATTTTTTTCATAGCTAATTCTTTTATTATTGGGATCAATAATAAATAAAAAGAATCAAACAACTTGTTTTTACCAAGCGTTAAACAGATTTTTGATATTTATAAAATTGTGTTAAAGAATTCGTGTATTCGTATCTTACAATTTAAGCCCGGACCATTTATATAATGTAATTCTTAGTTCTCATATTAATCTATTCTCAATAGTCAGCCGTGCTTATTTCATTATAATACCTTTTTGGTAACTTTTACACTAAGAACAACTTCAATTATTCATTTTTTTAATGGGGCACTTCTAATTAAGGGTTGGTGGACTTTTTACCCGTGCAATTCTTAACAACTAGTGGACGATATGTTAACTTAAGTAATATATAAAAGAAAAAACATAAGCACATAGTAAAACAAGAAATTCCATAAACTATTTATTTCTATCTATTTTTTACATTCCAAAATTTTTTACCGGCCCTCCAGTCATCTATGCTAGACACATTATGAATATAACCCCCCCACTGATACTCACTTTTTTCAATATAATCAATAAAATGAATCTGTATTTTACATTTTTGGAATATATTGATCAGAATTATTCTCATTGGATGTGTAAAAACATTAATTTTTAAGTAAAATAAGTTTTAAGTAAATTCGTTAATTAAAAGTGTTTAAATAACAATTTGGTATTTATGTGGTTTATATTGATTTCTCAAATTAAATAATTAATTCATTGAATAAAAGTTGTAAACAATAATTTTGTATTTATATTGTACTGTATTGATTTCTCAAACACAATACTGAATAATTTTTACCTAATTATTACACATGATGGGAAGAAAGAAATATTTATAATTAAGTTTATAATGGGGAAGCTTGAATTTCTAAGAGAACAATTTTCCTACCACAAATTAGTCTACTATAAATGTAATAATTATTAAGTCAGCTTGCTAATTAATTCATCAAAACAATCAAATTAATGTTTCAGTTATTTTTACATTGTAGTTTTTACAAAAATCGTATTCCATTGCTTTGATTGGTAAACATCTATTATATAAACTTTAAACTAATATTTTCTTACTTGAATGTTCAAGGATATGGCGTTGAAGATTATTCTTTGTAGAATAATGTCTATCGCATTGAGCGCAGCTAAACCTCTCCCCATCTCCATGAACATCTCGTACGTGGCGGTTCAAACTCTTTTTCTGTGAAAAACTAGCTTCACAAATACTGCACTGGAATACCATCTGTAGAAGGGAAAAATGCAACATTACAAATATATAATAAAGTAGAAAGACATTTGAGATACTTTAGATACCCTACTAATTTAAAAAATGTTTAGCATGGATGATTGTGTATAACTCTGAAGTTCCATCGCGTGAAAACTACTTGACCGATTGAGCAGACATTTTGCAGAGAGGTACTTAATAGTCTTGAGAAACACATAGGCTTATTGAAGTTGTGAAAATCTTACAGGGCTATACCCGACGGGGGTTCAAAGTTGAAACGTTATTCTTTTGAGTATTCATTTTGAAAAGAAATTACAAGACACAAAATTACAGGATCAGAATCAGAATCAGAATCTCTGTCAATTTTACAAGACCAACTTCAATTTCATAACATTTTAATGGGACACGTCTCAATAAGGGTTGGTGGAAATAGGTGAGCGCCAACCACTAGTAGGGTAGTTTTCCGAAACTACCCGGCTATCCCTTACGCTCATAGAACGCTCGAAACTGTAAGAATTTTCCCCCGTACAATTTTTAATAACTTGTAGAAGTTAAGTAATGTATGTTAAAGATAATTTTGAAATATGATGAGTAGGCCTATGTAGTGAAAAATATATAATTAATTACTATTCATTGATAAAAAAATGCAGCATTGTTACGCTTCTTTAGGGGCGGTACTTCACCAGTACTTCCGGTACTTCCATACCAGCCACAGTACATATATTATCTCCTTACCTATATAAAATATTATCGCTAATATTACATTTTAAATGTATTATGTTATTCAGCAACGATATGCTTGCGAGATAGGGCATAGTAAGAAGTTGAACTTGATTAATCAGTTGTTATTTACGTAAAAAAGGTTATCTAGTTGTAAATAAATCAATATCAGAATATATTACGTTAATAATCTATTAGGTAACTTTTAACTAAATTTAATAGGAGGTTTACACTAAAACAAGTGTTGGTAGCACTATGTAGTAAGTTTACATATGAAAATTAAGTTTATACTAGAAATAAAAATGAACTTAGTAAAAAATAATGCTGGTTAAAAAATCTTACCTTAAATATTCAATAATGGAGACGCACAGTAACTCATGAAGACTCACTCACAGATGATTTCACCATCACATCGATAAGTCAAACCAACGTAACGTTGAACTAAACACTGACTTCCCCATGTGAAGGTCAGCACTTAATATAGTTGTATAGCCTAAGGGATGTTTCTAGTGTTAAGGGCAACAACCTTTCTTGACTCTCTTTGGTTTTAACGCGCTTTCACTTACTGTTGAGGTGCTTACCCTTAGAAGGTGCAATCGTGCCCAAGAGTTCCTCAACTGTGCCAAGCCCTCAAAGGGTCCCAAAAAATGTTCCTTAGTTGAACCCAAGTCCAAGGTAGGGGTAAGTTGCCGCCAGAAGGAATAACCTTGTTTACGTGTCATCCTGATCTATCCTAACCTACCCTAACCTAACCTAACCTAATCTAACCTAACCTACTCTAACCTAAACTAACCTAATCTAACATAACCTAACCTACTCAATTATACAGTCAAAGAGGGCAGCCACATGCTGCAGTCAACGAACGTATTGGGTGCCTCCCTGGAGTAGTTGGCGCAATTCAGGAATACCCGGCTACCTGACTCAGGTCAGTGGGCGCAATTAATTAATGCCCACCCCCTTGGAACGCCACCTGTCTCGGGGGGGGGGGGGTCACAGGGGGAAGCGAGTGTTGTTTCAGGGGCTTTATAAGTGCAAAACATGTATTATTTCGAACTAGTAAACTCTCTAAAGGTGCATTGTCCCTGAAGCGACTCTTGCGATAGTAGCTGAGCGATAGTAGCTCAGCGATAATAGCTGAGCACTGGTTAGCGTTGTTTCAAATGGGACCATTGTCCTTGACGCGACTGCGACTCGAGCGGCTAGCGGCTGAACACAGCGACTGTAGCGGGTCTGCTCTGAGGGCAGTCAGAGTCGCAGTCGCTGAGCGATTTGTGTTGTTTATAGACTTGTTTTGGTCGTAATGTCTTCAAAGAATACAAAACTGCTTTTTACCCCTGAAGATGATATCAGATATGTACATAATATTAAATCACTACTATTATAAATTATAAATGAAAATACTTTTTAAAAATGCAACGTTTTTAAACGCACTATAAAGTAAAAAATAGTTTATAAATATGTGGGGAGAATAAATACTTGTAAGATTAAAAAAAAAACGTGGGGCGCATGCTAAGTATTTATTCCCTCCACATATTTATAAATTATTTTTACTTTTTAGTGCGTTTAAAAACGTGGCATTTAAAACAAAGTATTTTTATTTATAATTTATTTTATACTTTTTAGTCATTAATGTGTAAATATGTTAAATCTATTTTATATGGCCTGTTAATACATATCAAACCCTTATTATCTGTAGTCATATGTTTTATATTTCCTTTGAACTGCTTATTTTATATTTAGAATCCTCGGGAGCAGAACCTGTACCTCTACCCAAGCTTTTCAAACTGTCAAATTTAAGTATTTACGGCTTACTTCAAAATGTAAACATGGACAATTTGGAAGACCATGGGGCTTAGCCCAAGGAAAATATGAAAATTAAATGATATAGTATTACATTGTCATCCTTTGTGAGCTGTGTTCTCTAGTTTCATTTCTCTAGCTCGTCGGGAAGTTAGTTTAAAATGTATTGCAAAGTTTGTACCGGACAAGAAAGCGAGCTAATAAAAACGTTTTAAAGTTAGGAGGTGTCATGGCACTCATAGCACCAATTCACCCGAAAGTCAGCAAACTAATATACAGAATCGCTCTAGAACAATCGCTTCAGGGACAATGACATGGTTAGCTACTATCGCTGAGCTACTATCGCTGAGCTACTGTCGCTCAACTACTATCGCAAGAGTCGCTTCAGGGACAATGCACCTTAAATCATTGCTTTACCCCTCACACAGTACACCTCATGTTCAACAAGGGTACCTTATCGACCCTCGACCCGGTTGTGGTAGAGATTGTGGAGTTTGTGTTTGTGGTTATGGATTAAACTTCATAAGATTGAGATACTTGAAGGATTGTAAAAAAACAACGCATGAAATTATGAATAAAATTTAATGTTACAATTTTGATAGTATAAATATTTTTACAAAAATATTATATAACACCGCCCATAATTTCAAAACATATAATGACTGAAAATTATTCTCTAACTGATTTTAAATGAGTTATGGTACCTATTTATGTTGAGTTATGTTGTGGTGGTGCTTTTTGTGGTTGTGGTTGAGATTGTAGTGGTTAAGTTTGTGGTGATGGTTGTTGTTGTGGTGTTTCTGGTTGTGGCTGAGGTTCTGTTTGTGTAGATTTTTGTTGTTGTGGAGATGGTTGTTGTTGCAACGCTGGATACCGCGCACTGTGGCGCAGGATGGGGCAGTGGCAGATCAGGTGTTGGCGAAGTTTACTTTTGCGTGTAAACATCTTGTCACACAGGATACATGAGAATCCTGGAATATTATACAACATTATACAACGATAACATGAATATTAAAAAAAAGAAATTGTATTTAACAAAACATATTTACATAAACATTATTATTGTACAGTTGGGTTAGAGTACTTGATCTACGGTCGGTAATAACTTGAGTACTATTATAAAGCATGCTATATGCTATATGCTATATCTATATATATGTAAATCTAAAAAAGAATCACGAACTTCTGAGAAACCTGTAAGCTAAACACCTTTAAACCGCATTCTTCAATGAAAGGTCTTGATGATCTGCCTTCAAGGCAAGGTGAATCTTGCCAGAAAAAAACAGCTTTTCAATAAACCCCCTTCTAAGAGCAGACACATCTCTGTTGAAGGACTCACTTGAACCACATTTTAAATATTGAAGATGAGCCAACTGTTAGATTTGCTATTTATTTATAGTTTTTTGTTTACTTTTCCCCTGAATTAATCTTTTGATTCTCAACATAGAATCTTACAATAAGATTAAGTTATTAGTTTCGATTCCATCGCAGAGTTTAATTCCAAGTTTAATTCAATTCAAGAGATTTTCATTAAAATAAGAGATAAGTACGATTGAGATTTTCCTGCATAATTTGCAATGCAAATGTGAGTAACTAGTTTCAATTTTACAATAGATTTAGAGACCCAAATTATTTACCATTTTTTCTTGCCCCTTTGTGACGAACGGACAGAACAACTAGTTGAAACATAAATGCCATAACTCATTTAAAATGAGTTAGAGAATCATTTTCAGTCGTTATAAGTTTTGAAATTGTTGCATATAACATTTTGAGACAAATATTTAAATATCAAAATTGCCTAAAAGATTACACTTATCAATTAAGTTTACAAATTACATTTATGCTTTTATAAATTGTTTTACATTTATAAATAATAGTTACTCACTTTTAGTTGTCACCGGTCGTTGGATTGCTGCACTTGTTTCTCTTGAGTCAATCGTCGTCCCTACGACCAAACAATGATATTACAACATGCAGTGGGTTGAAAGAAGCATTGAAAGCAGGTGATTGTGGGAGATTTTTTCGAATGTTTCCCCATTCAATTAATTATTAAATCCTTCGCCAATTATGAAAGCTTTACATTTGGAATGATTTTATTTACATTTTGTATATTAGATACTATGTTAAAATTTCCTTGGATTCAAAGTTGAATAATATTATTTACAGTAATTATATTACTTTAAATAAATTAAAATTAAGGGGGCAAAGCCTAAAGGAAATTAGCTTTTTAATTACAATTCGCAGGTGAGATGGATCATATGCTTTTAAATGACAAAATCGTAAAAATCGGGCATGCGGTAAAAAGGGATTTTACAAAAATGCCCTTTTGTGTTAATTATTTAGTTATTATTTATATCAGACTATGTTGTCACAACTTATATTCGAAATAAAGCCTTATGAACTGATAGGCTATTAACATTAATAGGCC